TTTTTTTCCGAAAATCGTCGCTAGATATTAGGGGTGCGGCTTATCTGCGGGAACACTTGAAAAAAGTGCCGTGAATATAGATGCTGGTGTTCAGTTTTTCATTTTCGCGTTCGATCTCATGCCTGGTTACTAAGCTTCGAATGTTCTGCGCAGGCTCTTGTTGTAATGCAAAAATCAATGGAAAAATTGTGTTGAATAAAGAAATTCCTGTCAAAAAATACTACAAAAAGACCAATCCTATGTCAAAGTTGGTAGAAACGATGTTCATTATGTTATAGTGCTAAAATCGTGGGTAAGACTTTAAAGTATTTGCCGTTGCAATGTTAATATTGAGTTTACGTTCAATGAAAAGTGGATGAAGAAGACTTCTCAAGACACGACTTTGGATTTCTTTTGATTTCTTTCAAAAAACTTTTTTTTCCAAAATTGGAGCTGCTTAATTCAGGGCACGGCTTACCTGCGGGTGCGGCTTATCTCTGGGCTTTTACGGTAATCAAATTCGCTTTCGATATACTCTTGAGAACTGAGTATCCTATAAAATTTCAAATTTACATCTGACCATTTTCTAGATCCGTAAAAGAGATAGATAAATACCTGCAGCAGGGACAAGGAAGGGGACATGGACGGGGTTTTCCCATGCACACCATACCGTAGAACTCTTTATTTTTGTTGATTTCTTCCACGGTTTGAGCCATGTTGCTCATCAAAGTCTCGGGAAGAAACAGTGCGAGAAGGCCAGCGGCTACAGCCAGTGAACCAAAGACAACCATAGGCAGGGTAGCGCTCACTTCTGGCAACTGAGCCTTGAATGTAACGATAATTTTTTTTTTAAATAAATTTGTTATGAAATTTCGCTATTGAGACGATACACCTAGCTTCTGAGTCCCATTCCCTTTTCGCGATAAACTAAAACATATCAGTTTTCATTCGATGTAAGTTTCACAAGAAAGGCTACACGTAACGTTTAAGTGACTTGGAGTGGTGGCAAGTTTTGTGATGGCGAGTTTGTTGTGGTGGCGAGTTTGTTGTGGTGGCGAGTTTGTTTTGGTGGCGAGTTTGTTTTGGTGGCGAATTGACCGTAAACCACATAAATGGAGCTATGCTTTAATTAAGAATAATTCTGTATAAGATTGAAATGAGTCACGGCAACCTACCAGCATCACAATGTATGGTGCAATAAGAGATCCCACGCGAGCACTAGTGGAGCAAATACCAATTCCTTGGTTCCTGTTGATGGGACACATGAAGAGTTCATAAACAAACACACGGTTAGAGGCAAGCTATCTCAAACCCTCGGCGGTAAAAGTGTAATGAATCACAAATAGTTTTTAATGTTTTCAATTGTCCTGTATTACGTATTTTATCGAAGTTTTCTTTTTCAAACAGGCGGCTGTGGTCATTTAGCTTTTTACTGAGTAGTAATGGGTTTCTTCGAGTGAATAAATGTATGGCAGACAGAGAAGATATTTGATATTCTGGTCTCAGAGGTGGCTATTGGAAGGGTTAAAAGAATTAACAGGACAAAATGGATCCTTTACTTCCCAACATAAAGTGTTCAGTTTCGGTCCTTACCTCAGTATGGTGGGATATAGTTCAGTGGAATACAGGTAAACGTTCGAGAATGATCCACTTATCATGAAACGACCGATGAACGCCAAGGCTGTTATAGCACCTTTCTGCTCTGAAATAAAATGTTAAATACTACTCCTCGAGAAAGTTGTTGATAATTGTCGGAAATGCCACAATATTGACGTTCTTACAAATTATCTAAAATGACAAAGAGAAAAAAATGTGCTTACAATGATTCCTAGGAAAGGAAAAGAGTAACGTAGCCTTGTTGTTAGACTTGTTGGGAGCATCAGCTTTTATTTTTTAAGGTAGTCAAAGTGTAATCAGTCTTTATGGCTAAACTAGAGAGTCAGTTTTCGGTATTGTGTTTGGTTACCTTCTGGAACAGCCAAAACAAGAAGGCAGATAAAACCTCCAATAACCATTATCGCAGAATAGGGAATGCGGCGTCCAAATCTGTGAATATTAAGGAAGCGAAATAAGACGATTAACATGATTACAACACGATTACTTCTAACACTGCTCCGTTTCATTTGCACGGCCAACGAAACAATTGCAATCAAAACTGACAAATTAGTCGGCTCAAATTCCTGAAAAACGTTTCCTCACTTGTCAATAATAGTATCAAATATTCATTAACATAGCATTCCCTCAAAGTTATCAAAGGCTTACTTCTGCAAGATCACCCAATTGATAAGGTGTGTCGGCACGTCTGACAGGTACATAAGAAACAAGTTCAGATATGGATTGCCGTCCAAACGAGTCACGTACAGCAAGAAGCCATAGTACACCATGCTTATAACCAGCCTGGATAATGCAGCACAAAGGGTATAAACAATTAGTTTCGGATTATATTTTTCTAAAGCATCTCAGCGGGCCGGAATCTTAATCCTCGAATATGATTGGCTTATCGCTCACGATACGGACCAGACTTTTTTTTATGCGCCAGCAGAAAAAAATTGAAGGTGCCCCGTCGAGAGCGCCAATTTTTCTAGTGTTCTCCCAACAACATAGTGGTTTATTAGGCAAGTGAACCGATACATGGTGCAGTCTGTTGCTCACAATAGTCCTTTTTACAGTTGTGGGCTTGGTGGCCAAGCTTTTGAACAGGAGTCAGGCTAAGGGTAACCTTGTTATGATACGGATGATGCTGCTTTTCTAAAGCAAATTTCTTTGTTGTCATGCTAAGTAGATACTGGTCTCTATAACAACAATGTCACCCTCAGCCTCACTTCAATTCAAAGGCTGGGCAACTAGGTACACAACTGTAAAATCGCCTTTTAAGTCTGCTCGTGGTGAGTTGAAATTTTGTCTCAAGAGTTGAACTTGTGTCTTATGAAATACTTCGCGATGCCCAATTTCTTGTTGCTGTACAGAATTCCGTGGTTGCTTACAACAAATATACAACTGTACGATTACCAGTGTCTTCTCGGATGACGATCTACTACTACATCCAATTTAATCTGTTTCTACAACTCACCAGTTGAAGCAAAGGATGACGGTCCTCTTCCTCAATCGGGGGGAACGAAGCAACTCCAGGTAGGACTGATTCTTAGTCAAATAAGCAATTGTTTTTGATTCCACCTCACCCTCATGATACTCAGCCAGCTTGTGTTTCAAGGCATCTGAGTCTATTGATGAGGACCCCTTGCCAGCGAACCTCATCAAAACAGCTTGCGCTTGGGTTAGGTGACCTTGTGCAGCCAACCACCGCGCAGATTCTGGAAAGATACTGTGAAATCAAGAAAATTATGGCTTTCAGGTCTGTATTTTTAATAATTGTTTGTACTTGTATCTTTTTCTACCAGAACGTTGATGAGTCAGAATTCCTTTCTGAAAATAACAGAATCAACTCAAAGTGGGTACTCCTAACACCGGCCGTTTTTATGGCAAGGCTTTTCTAAGTTAGAATTAAGTCTATGTTATCCCCATCTATCCAAGTTACTCAGTAGAGCCCGTCTACTTGTCCTTCGCTTTGTTCGTCCTAATTGAAAGCTTATTGTCAATGTTATCGTTACAATTATCAAAGCTTGTTGTCAACATTATCGTTATCATTATCAAAGTTTGCGCGACGAACAAAATTTTTCAAATAAATGAAATGAAAATATTTGCTTGGCCTTCATCTACAACTAAAAGTTAATATACTTGAAAAGCAAATTATTCTAACTGCTTACCGGAATCTATGTGATGTTCTGAAAACTTTGTCATGATTAGGTTGATATCTTTAAATAATGATACCGTAGTGCAACTCACGCGTAAATCGTAAAGATCAGAAGTGGCGGGAAACTGCAGATAACAAGCAGGGTTCTCCAGTGCGGGATGAGGTAACCAAGTAATGCAATCAGCCCTGCCCCTATACACCAAAACAAACTCTGGATTTTGTCAGCGAAGGTTCGGTGTTAAGGGCCGACCAGTTCGAGAACATAGACATAATGGGCGACGAAGAAGCCAACCGCAAAAGCTGCGGCGAAGAAACGGAGAAAGGCAAAGAAGGACAAGCAATCAACAACTCCTGACCCAAGGCTGGTAATGGCCTGTAGAAAGAGATAGAGAGAGAAGGGTTATGTCTCAACATTAATCAAATGGCCCATCTTGCCAGAGCTATTATCAAGGTTTCCGTTGAATTAAATGATTCGGAGAATTTCTACTTCTCTTTGACTGGATGTAACTTAGGAATGTGTCTCGACAAAATATATCGTTTCCTTAATTGATAGTTTGGCTAATTGCTCTGCCGATAAGTACAACTAAGTGAATTAGCCACGACTAGAACCTAGATCTTTTCAGGTGCAAGGCCATAGCTTGTTCTCTTGCGAAACTGAAAGGCTATGTTTACAAACTGAGCCAGGAACTGCGTAGATAAGGCATTTAATAAAATAAGTGAATCATACCAATAATGCAGCACATATGTAGATACAGAACCGACGCCCGAAGAAATCCGAAGTTGCTCCGAACAAGAGCGATCCTATGAGCATCCCTGCTGAGAACACTGCCTGCACATTGGCTCCAACATAAGCCTTGTCACAAATCAGGTTCCACTGGAAAAGAAACATTTTAAACTTGGATAAATTTTGATAAACAAACAAGTTTCTTTCGTTCGATATAAAACACAAGCTTGAGTAATAAAAATGGTTTCAAAAGCGATAGAATTTCGTTGCGTAATCTACACAGATAAATAAATAATGTGCATTTTAAACAGTGTTCGAAATCTTACGCTTACATAAGAAGGTAACGAACTACTTATTGATGCAATCTAACACCGCCTTACGGAGAGAGATGCCTCTCATTAACCGAGTTCGAGGTCCGCACCAAAGCAATTAATCTATTTGTCCCAAAATGCTTATAAGGCACCATCTATGCCCGATCGAGCTGGAGGCTCTTGTGTTAAACCTATGACGATTTATTGAATAATGACAAAACAGAAACAAAATTTTTATTTAGAATGGTCTATGACTAAAGAAAATCTGACTTAACCATATGAAACACAAAAAACATAAACCACCCTATACTAAGTGTCGTGTGTTGATGGGTCAAGTGATCGCACCATAAAATACTTGTGATTATTTACTTTACTTCTACTTAGGGGGGTAGATTGAGTAGTAGGAAGTTCCTTACAGCGGTAACGCAATGTGACGCTATGTAACGCAATACACTACACTCACCTCACTGACGCTACTTGTAAAAGGACCATCAAAAACATAGTCTGTACAATTGGTACAACATTTGCTGTCTGCGCATGACACGTTGGGGGTCACACAATGGAATTTCGGTGTACCAGCAAAGAAAACAAGTCCTATCACTTGTAAACAGGAAGGAATAATCACGAGGCAGCAAGTCGCGAGGTAAATTATTCTCTGCAAGTATCCAAACGAACTCACACTTGTCAGGATGTCGTCAAAATTTGAAATTGATGGGTTTTTTCCAGACATGGCTGAGTGTTTCCGCGTCTGAAATTTAGGGAAAGAACTTTTTTTTAATAAAATTCTCGAAAGGCAAGAGCAACCACAAAAAATGAATAAATAAGAAATATTATTGCAATAACTTATTTTAAAGGATAAAGGCTGATAGTTTCTAACGAAACTGTTGGGGGCTGCGTTGGTAGGGGTAACGAAATAATTTGGATATAACAACAAAGTTGAAATGGTAAATTGGCCACCGTAGCGATTTCAAAATATTTTTAAAGGGACTGGCGCGAAAGCCTTTTGGTTCTGAGCTCTAACAATGATTACCTATGCTTCTTTAATATCGTCTTTAACTGGAAATAATTTTTATGTTTTCATTGTAATTCCATTCTTGAGACTTTTGTTTAAGGAATTACGTCATTCTGCGTCTTGAGATATCGCGCCATTCCGCCGATCCACCGTTCCTCCATTCCATCATTCCATTAAGCAATTCAAGGCGATTGTATTTCTCAGCATGCTCGGTTCGCTAATTTAGTGGCCCTTTTCGGCAAAAGTCGCTGATTCAAACAGTAAAATGCTCTCTTTTCGAACAATTAATTCTCGAGGCTTACATGATGCGCAGATTACGTCTATCGACATATTTCTGCGAGAAAAAGTTTAATTTCAATTATGAGTCGGTGGGTGCCACTGTTGTGAAACTATTTTGAGATGCTTATCGTCTTTCGTAGTGTCACACACGGCAAGAAGTGAAAAGACTATATCGTCTGATCTACACAATTTTCTGATTTTAGATGGTAAAATGCTCTCTCTTCAAAGAAAAAAATCCTCCTAATATACGGATCACGCCTAGTAAGATATTAAAAGAACTGACAGACTGTAATCCAGAATCACAAAAGGAGAGAACCTAACTGTGTACTGAGCGCAAATGTCGAACTACTAAGATGCTCCGGAAAAAAACAATAAGTCGCACCGGGAAACATAGGGTCAAAATGGAGTTTAACTAATGGTCGTGGGTCGTGGGTACAAGTCGTGGGTCGTGGGTGTGGGTAATATATACATAACAATTAATGGTTAAGAGCTCATATTTAATAATGTTAATAGTACCACTACTAATAATCAATTACTGTTATTTTTGTAGGGAAAAAGGGTTCTTTCGTGATCGTGAAGGGCCCTTTGGCTGGTTTTAAACGTGATTTGGTTATATCGCCGTGAACGTTGAGTAGCCTTTTCTTCATGGAAATTGCGAAATCACTGGCTTTTTTCGCGAAACGTGACTTGAACCGTTGTTATTCTTCTTTTCCACAAATTTATCATGTAAGCGTCTCAAAACAAGACGGGAAACATGATTGTCATTAGTTACCGTGAAGTAATGGAATACTTCTCGACGAACAATGAAACGTATGTTTCTTGAGTACGTCACATTTCGCAACTCTGAAGAGTCTGATCTTTGTCAGATAAGAAATGAATCGTTTAAAAATTGAGATTATTAGAACCTCTTTATTTATTAATTTACTTATTTCACTAATTCTTCATATCTAGTTTATTTTATGATTTAGAAAAGGACCTGGCGAGTTAAATGGACCCGGCCAGTTTAATTTCTTGTCACCGATGCCAGTTGTTGTGACCAATTTAACATTGGCTTGCGATTTCCGGTTGTCGATTGTACCGCACACTGGATACCAGAGGTTTTATATTTTCGTGTCTTGGAAAAACCTTGGAGCCAACACCTCCAGACCTGCAACTAACGTTGCAACAGTTCGCTGTTTCACTTTATTTTTTTTCTTAGATGCGGGATAGATGTTACGCGATACGGAGATAAAGCATTTGGCTCTTTGTCTGAATGTCATTGATCAATACAAGCTTTATTTTCCCTGACCAGCAGAGCGATATACTTTTACTTTTGAAACTTCAATTATTCTTAACCGGCACTGAGAGCACAATTTAATTCTAATTCAAGAACACGGCCAATAGCCATGTTTCTGATCCTCGAAGCTTCTTTCATGTTCTGAAAACGTTGTTCTTTTAAGTTTAACACTTCTCTCTTTTCAGTGTAAGATCAATGAAATATTAGGCTCACTAAACCGAGCTGATACAATGACAAAGGTTGTATAATATTTATGTATTATTATAACTAATATTTTAAATGATTATTGTTATTGTTAAGTATTAATCACACCCACGAATTTTACCCACACCCACACCCACGACCCGCGACCTGTACCCACCACCCACGACCATTAGTCAAAATGGGGTCAAGATCCGAATTCTATTCTTACACTCACTCAACCACTCATCTAGACAACATATGTGGCTTCGCCTCTATACATGGGGAGCAGTAGCCACAACAAGAACAGTAACCTGGACTTCAAAATCGTTGCCGAACCATTTACTTTAATAAAGGAACAAATTGAATGATACGTGGAACAGCTTAACAGCAAACATTTTGATATTAATCGTAATATTCAAGACGAAAGTAAAGCAGTTTATTGCATTTGAGATTAGTCACGGTCCGGTAACCTTAATCAGAGTCAACTCTGGCTTAATCAAACAAAAATATTGTTCTTCAGCCATCAGTAATAAGATATGATGTTTGCAATTCCACTGTAGTGTAAACCTCCATCATATTACGAGGGAGAGGTCATAACTGTTTTCTTTAGTGTATTTTACATAGAGCAAATTTTCAGTATCATGTGCCCAGACGCTTTTCTTGGACGTAAAGAATCAATTTGTGCATACCATTACTAATTACCTCTATTTAAATATCACGCAGCCCGAAAGTTCGAGAAAATCCAATGGTGTTTACTGCAAGACGAGTAAAAGCTGCCGAGCTTAATATTTGCTTAAAGGTCGTTTTTTTATGGTCTGGTTTAGACAACGTTTCAAATTTAGATAGATTTCATTCATCGGCAATGATCAAGGAAAACAACTTGTGGAGGGATTTTTTTAATTATAAAGTGCTCTTCTTGTATCTATGAAGTTTTCAAAATAAGTTCATAGCGACTGGCGACTTGACTTCCCCGAAGGAAATAGATATCACTTCGCAAGATATGGATATATTTTCACTCAGGAGTCTGAACTCGTATCAGCTGTCTTCCCTACACAAGTTAGACTAAGGTCAGCCCTTCCGGCTTAGATTGTGGCATTAAAAGAAACTAGCCGAAAAAGTAAAAAGGCGTCGTGCTAATTTTGCGATTTGAACAAACTCAGGTAACATGCAGGCTGGGCTGGACCTTTACGCGTTGCTAGAAGTCGTTAGACGCAGTGACTCAAATGTATGACCGAAGCGCGCCTATTAAGGAGCACCTATTATAAAATCCCAAACGAGTGTTAAAACTGTAAAATACCCTAAAATAAGTCATAGATTATAAACCGATACCTGGTACTTTGCTGAACTTTCTTTCCACCGGACACTCAAACTATAGCTTGCTTCCCCGACCACGAGTAGCTACAAAATGAACATCGAACTTATGTAAGACCTATTGCAAAAGAACACGACAAAGAGTGACTGTTGTAATGCAAATTTTGAATAACAAACGAGATAAGATAAAACGCCACTAAGGCATTCTCTATGCGTTGTGATACTTATCTTCCTCGGCCTTTAATTACAACCAGGTATGTAAACGCGTCCTTCAAAAGATATTTAGAAAATCATTCGAAAGAGGACCTGTTTCAGTACTGTTTTGAATGCTTTGATAAACGTTCTACGAAAGTCGACTATCGAATATCGAATATCTAGTTCACCTCACACAGACGCACAAGGTGCTTTTCACCAATCAATAAATGACAAAAGAAAATAGTTCCTGATTATCATTGTATTGCTCTGTCTCCTTTGTATACGAAGAGCAAAAACGTTATGTCTTCACACCTTACCGAGTTACGTCGCAAAGCAGAGGCCTCTATTGCTTACAACTCAGTGCACTGAGCACGCACCCCGCTGGACAACAGAACACATTAGTCAGCGTCTAACATGTGGTTTCCTTTTCTCCCCTTCTATGAAGACCTTTATAGCGACAATCTAACATTAAACAAAGACTCCCTTCGGAGGATACCCTCAAATTCAGATTTTAAAATTGTGGAAATTATGACAAATGTTATTTTTGACGTGACGGCGATATATGATACGGGAGGGTGTGCGACCAAACTACAACCAAAGCGACGTTGGTCAAATGCAAGGAATCTCCAACGAGCAAAAGTTTTCTAAACGAGTTCAACCGTTACATTATTACTGGAAATTATAGAATCTACATCACCTTTGCTTTGATCAGCTCGTTTTGATTTTCACCGCACCCACCAGATCGGATTGATCAGTTGTAATGCTCAGTGACGCTTATCCTTGTATCGCGGTCGGAAGGTGAACGGCGAATAATAAGAAATAGAAAAAAGAAAAATGATTATTCATTAGGCCTATTCCGGATTACCGTACCTCTGGCCTCTTTTTCAAAACGAGGCCTGGTGCTCGACCATTATTGTGAATAGGAGTTTAATTTGCATGTGAATGAAAACTTCTTATATGAAAGTGAGCACCAGGACTCGCTTTGTAAAAAAGAGGTTGAGGCCCGGTTCAGACGTCGTACTTTAGCCGAGCCGAAGCGAATTCAACGCATTAGGTTCACGTGTAGTACGGCGTCTGAATCGATTCGGAACAGCTGATTTAGTTAAGATCGGCTTAGTCAATTAATTCCACCCGACCCAGCCGGGAAGAACGGCTGTAGATCGGCTTTGATGATTCAAACGCCTGTCTTCACATGAGCCGAATCAAATGCATAAATTATTTTAGGGTATTTTTCTGCCGTTTTTACATGTGGGCATGAGCAAAGGAGTGTTGCAGAAGAAAAATGGCGGCTTGAAGGGCCGAGCAAAACGATGCTGACAGATATTGAATGGGCGCCCTATTCTACGCCTTTCGAACTGACACTCATTCTTCGATCTGTCGGTTCTTTGGGCATTATGTAGTTGTCCTCTGCGTCAGCAACGTCCTTTCCTGCCTCTTTTGCGTACCGCTCGCAAAAAGCGACGCATTTACCTGCATGGTAATCTTTGTTTTCTTCATTATTGAACATTTATTGCATATTGGAATTTCACATCTCAAGCAAGTATATTTGGTCGCGCCAAAACACTTACTGATCAACTGCCGAACTTTATTTAGGTATATCTTTAAAGAAGTGACCAAACATGACTAAAATACTTAAAACTTCTTTACAACGACCATGGCATGCAAGTAACTTTCGTTCTTTATAACACTTATCAAATTTTGTTACTTTGAACTGCGCCAGCCCCGGCCACAAATTTTCTTCAGTGAATTAATATCGGCCGAAATAAGTTCGGCATCTGAATCAATTCATCCAGGAATAACTCATTCAGGTCGGTCTAAAAATGAATTCGATTCGGCTCGGCTGAAATACGGCGTCTGAGGCCTAAAGGTAATTCAGAAAATGGGCCATTCCAAATCACGGAATAGTTTAGTTGGCTTTAAGGGGAGATAATATATGGCTTCAAACATAGCACTTACCAACACTTTCAAACTGTCGATTGTTTTCCCAATGATTAGACTATGATTCTTCTTGCATTAAGGATTATTTTGTATTCTTGTCCTAGAACTAAACACTAATGGAGATTTTCAGTTCATATGTAATCTGATCTGGGCACGAAGAGGCTAGTAGAGTGTGGGACAACTAATCCAGACGCAAGACGTTATCGCGCTATCGTATCCATAAACTGTTCCACGAAAATGTAGGGAAATCTGGAACGACAATAACCGTGTTTACATATCCGCAGCTAAGCATATCCATCGACCAATGAGAGCGCTCGTAATATCGCAGTTATTCTATCGCCACTGTTAACAGACACCTGTTTACATTTCAGTCACGGCCTTTGTTTGTTTCTTGGAGAGGCTCATGTTTCTGGGCCTTATTGGACTTGCCTGAAGTTGTGTCCTATTTGGAGGCAAAGATCGTTGGATGGGTGGAAAGAGACCGGTCAGTTTTCGTGCAACTGTATCGTGAGTTTGTCTTCTTCCGCTCTAACAGGTACGTGAACTGCAAATGTTATTTTTTTATTCCATTCAGGCAAGGGTACAAACTAGCAGAACAAACCGTATAACAATCGAACCGTGCAGATCACTTCAATATCGTGACCTACAAAGCCCTGTTCCTAATTATTTTTAGGATTGTGAATAGTGTAGTCTCATTTTTGCGCCGAATCTTCGCTTGATGTACCTACTGTATGAGTTCAGGAACATGAAATTCCGCATAGGTAATCTCTGGGTATCACTCAGCCTCTCGTGGCGATCCACTCGACGTTGAACTCAATATCACACTGGTCGAATGGCTTTGCATTGATTTAGTTCAAGTGAATTTTGTAGCTTTGTTGAATTTGCAAAATTCCTTTAACATGAAAGTAAAAGGTTCTAAGGAGTGAAATCTACAGTAAGCATTAGTTCCACTAATTATTGTTAAATCGAACGTTAATGTTCGCTATGCGGACTCTGCAAACAGTATGCAAAATTTCTAGTATGACTAGCTCTGACTGATAAAAGACAAAGCAGTTGCGATCTCGTGAGTTTCATTCGAAGTGTAATTAACCGCGTGAGCCTGTTAAGGAGATTTTCATTGCAAGCACGCTACAGAGACATGCGAACACGATGTGAAAGATGCAAAACAAAAAAAATGCTCTTCATCGCTCGAACATCGATCGTGTTTTTGTTGGTGAGATGTGGTTAATATTTTACTTTGCTAATATTAATGGTTGATCTGCCAAACGATTCATCCATTAAAACTGTTTTTCCGAAAAAGTCCGTAACTTTTTTAATTTCTATACCTGTGTAGAATGCTTAAAGTTCAACTCTGTCGAACGTGAGACTTTTCGATTTGAATCACATTTGCCACAGTCGATAACCATAGTAACATACAGACGGTTTGCACAGCCTAAATAATACCCAGTCAGTGCCTTTACGTTCAAGGTTCTCTGTTTAGTGCTTGCGCTAGGAAAAACTTTTATAATTTTCTTAGTCAATAGAATTCTTTCCGTCGATCTTTGTCGAACAATTGCTTAGAATTTCAAGCGCGATAAGCTCATCAAAGAGATAAAGACGAAAATCGGGTTAAAAATTTCGCAATCACCACCAATCAGTTCTTTTGACCCCCAAACTACAATCCATCAAACCGGGGGAGCAGACGGTTTAAAATAAAGCGATAGCTACACTGATAACTAGTGGAGCAACATTGGTTGCTCAAAATTTAGATCAGATTACTGATCCTACGGGATTTTGCGTATCATTAGTATCAGTGGTATGTTTGTGTGACCGAAAGTAATTCTTGTAAGCCAGTGTTTACGTTATTTTTGACTCACTGTCTTATTAGCATAATTTTTATCGATAGATGCATTCACTTTTAAAGCATATTGATCAAAACTCAGATTTGAATCGAAATCGTTCATGCTTGATTTTCTAACCTGTATGTTACTTTGGAAGCGTTTGGGCTAAGAAAACAACTAGCGAGTGAACGCACAGCAATGCTTTTCCAGAACTAAATCTACCTCAATCAATTATCTTTTTCCTTTCCTTTCCCTTCCTTTTCGTTTAATTCTTTCTCTTTCCTTTCTTTTCACTCCTCCTCTTCTGTTTCCTTTTCTACTCTATTTTTGTCTGTTCTTTCCATCCTTTTCTCTCCTTCTTTCCTTTCCTTATGTTTTCAGTCATTCACATTTTCTAACACCAAAAATGATGCCCTCACCAGAACGTTCACACAGTACGAACAGCCTTTGCCTATGGGCCCAAATCATTTACTTTATTCACTCTATTTTGTTTCGCATTTTTAGGGAGCGAGAAAATGGAGAATGAGACTAATTTAGTCGCAGCCAACCAGTACATTGAAGAGCAATTGACATCTGAGCAACGAAAGAGAGAGAAACGAAAGATCACCAAAAATGTTTACATCATCAGTCTCGGATTTTTGTTCCTCTTTACTGCTTTCCAGTCGCTTCAGAACTTGCAGAGCAGTTTGAACAAAGTTGAAGGACTAGGTTTCTGGTCGCTATGCGTCATATACGCTGCTTTGATTCTTTCCTGTATTCTAGTACCACCTTTCATGATTGGAAGACTCGGCTGCAAGTGGACTTTAGTGTTGTCAATGACGGGTTATGTTTTGTACACAGTGGCTAACTATCACGCCCGATGGTGGACTCTGATTCCTGCTTCTTTTATAATCGGTAAGTGGATTGTTCTTTTGCGATCGTAATTTTTTAGTTAATTTACAAGGATAAACAAGTGCCGGTAGTTTTAACCCTTTGACTCCCACGAGTGACCAAGAAACAAATTCTCCTTACAATGTTAATACGATATCAAGCATGAAAATGATGCGAATTGAGGAAAATATCAATAAGCTTAAGGGGATAATAAGTTGATCCAATACCAAATTCTTTATAGTAATATCATAAGAATTGTATGGCAGACAGTAAGGAGATTTGATAATAAGATCCTGGAGGTGGAAGGGTTAAAGCTTTGTGAGGTTATGTCGAGTATCTATCTTTTACCGTTAACTAACGTTTCAATTCTTTTTTTAAAGGAATGTGCGCAGCACCTCTTTGGTCTTCAAAATGCGCTTACCTGACCACCACAGGAATCCGTTATGCTGAGCTCAACCATGAAACCCAGGACGCGGTCGTGACGCGCTACTTTGGAATATTTTTCCTGATCTTCCAGAGCGGCCAGATCATTGGGAACCTCATCTCTTCGCTTGTCCTTCAGCAGGGAGTGGGAGACACCTTCCGTGAAAACGCTCGTGACGTCTGTGGTGTGAATTTCTGTAAGCCATTGCCGGCGACGGGGAACAGTACGGATGATTACGATCACAAGCTTGTTATCAGACTTCTTAGCATTTATGTTGGTACAGGAGTATTCGCTGTTGTACTCGTGATCGTACTGCTCGATCGGCTAACCGGGAGCCTGGACCGGCGAAAGAAGCAGGAGTCCGGCTTAAATCTTTTGGTTGCCACTGTCAAACACTTGAGAGACTGGCGCATGCTTCTGGTATTACCGCTGACCGTGTTTAGCGGGCTGGAACAGGCTTTTACCTTCGGAGATTTCACACAGGTAAAATGTGTTTTCGCCTCTCAAAACCAGAGTTACACAAAATCTTCAGCGGGTTTCCTTTTGAATCCTAGACGACTTGAATTCCCGCACTTATAGTTTTTACAAATAGTTTCGCTGAGTGGATGCCACAAGTTACGTATCATCAACCCAGTTTCAACGTGTGCGTGTGGGATTTAGTTTTCAAGGGGAGCACAGGGGGAGGGGGGTGAGTCAGTCGTCGATAACAGAGTATCAAGAGGGGACTATAGGAAATTGATTGCCAATAGGGGTGATTATTAGAATACTAAAGAGCCTTAGGGGCGGATCTGATAGATATTCATGATTTTGTTTAAAAAAAAAAGCTCCTACCCCCTCTCAGGCGATAAGTGAATTTCTGATATATTTCACGCAGGCATTCGTCACGTGTTCGCTCGGAATCCATCGTGTTGGTTTCGTCATGATCTGCTTCGGTGCCACCGACGCGTTTTTCTCGCTTACTTTGGGCCGTCTTACTAAGTATACCGGGAGAATTCCAATTTTCATCAGTGGTGCGGTGATACACTATACTGCCATAACAGTGATGCTGATCTGGAAGCCCGACTACCATTTGGTCTGGGTGTTTTATGTCATTGCTGCTCTTTTGGGATACTGTGATGCAGTTTGGCAAACGCAGATTAATGGTAAGGCATCATGGGGATACCAAACCTGATCGTGGTGTAACTAGCTATGTTTGATTATCATTAGATTGACTAACAGTCTAAACGAATGATTGGGTAATACATGGAGGGCTGGATGGACTAACAGACGACAGGACGGAGGGATTAAGAGGTTTAATGACGCTCTAACTAACTGTCTGACAGAATTTTACACTGACAGAGGAACTAATGAACCACTGGAAAACTGTATGGGAAGACTGTCTGACAGACGTACCGACGTACACATGAGTTAATGGACCGACTAACTGCCTTACCCAAATTAGCTAGTGATGAATTGGTTGATTGAATTGGCTGTTATTTACTTTATTTGATGTTTGTGGTCAGTTTATTTTTGTTTCATTAACACTTGACTGGAAAAAGGAAACATTAACTTATTTCCTTAATGTATCTCCTTTATTATACTGGAACACTCCATCATATTTTTGGTGAAAAAAAGATACCATGACCAGGTAGAATTACTATTTTAATTGACTAAAAAAATCCACTAAAGTTTTGAGTTGTGATTTCTCAGTTCAGGCTCAAGTTTGATCACTTTGAATGTCATTTTTCTCAATACAGCCATGTACGGTGTGTTTTTTCACGACAACCAGGAGCCAGCGTTTTCTAACTACCGTCTGTGGGAATCTCTTGGCTTCGTGGTTGCCTTTGCTTACGCCAACTACCTGTGTATTATAACCAAGTTAATCATTCTCTTGGTAGTTTTAACCATGAGCTTGGTCGGGTATTTCCTCGCCGAGTATGTGCACAAGACTCAAATCGACCAAGAATACTCTCTCGCAGACGGCATGGTTTTAGAAGAGGCCAGCCAAACGAGATCGTAAAGATAGAATAAGTACTATGTTGATTCAGTTTATAATGCGGCTTAAACTTTGGCCAGTTATTAGAGTGGTTAAGTAAGTGATTTATCTGTTATGGTGTTCAGGTTAATTATAGGAGCGGATTTTAATCACGAGGTATAATGTTCTTTGGTTTCAATCCTTTTCAAGTTCACGTTTCTGCAGGAAAGCTCACCTGTCAAACTCTTGATCAGGAAAATCTCTTTTTACTTTAATTTTGGAGAAAAAAAAACTTTTCTACACTTTGTTTGATTTCTATTGCAGACATCACTGTTGCCAAGAATCTATCGATAACAGAACGTAGTAGAATCCTGCATTTAACACTATACCTCTTTAAACATGCTCCAGGAAACTTCAGCACACAGATGAGGAAATTTTGGGATATGTTCCCCCTACATTATTATTATTACATAGGTTATTTGACCACTCCCCATAAGGGCTTTTCAGGACCGACACCCACCCATCCTACCCCAGGGGAGGACGTCCACCACACAGTAGTCTCGTGCGTGGGAAGTTAACGTCTCCTACCCCTAACCCTGCAGGAGACGAAGCTTACGGTTTATTCGTCTTTATCCGAGAAGACTAGAATATCCATCCATTTCTTGTCACAGAAAGGTAGCAAATTCTCCGCAGTTATATCAAGACCATGAGTATTGGTCCGGCCAGGGCTCGAACCCCCAACCTCCCGCACAATAAACTCCTATAACTGAAGCTCGTTGTGGTCTAAAATTAGACGTAATAGTAAGGACTTCGGCGCACCCAATTGGACGAAAATAAATTTACGTCATCGAATGGTTATCCGACCGAAATACCATATTTCGCGCTCTTGTGGAATTGAAGGAGAAAGCTGTAAAAACGGTGTTGTCTAACCCTCTCATTGGTGTAACTGAAATGGTATTTTGTATCTTGCCGCTAGTCTGCCATAGTTTTAAGTATAGTCAGTGAATGGTGTGAAGAGTAACTGAGATTTTAACATTGGACAGTCCATAAATAAAGATTTATATATCGACGCTGATCGTGTGAGACCTACCTAAGGCAAACCACATATTAAAGGATCCCTTCCAACCACAATACATTGCGCGCGCGATATGTGAAATCCGCCATTTTCTCTGCCATCCGGTATTGGACAAGTCGTGAAGTGGAAAGAAATCCTCGTTCATCCGAGTACATTTGCCTCACTGAGGTCTTGAATTTCCTCAATCGCGTTCCAAATTTATTGTTCTTTCTATTTGACTAGGCATCAAAACAATAATAGAGGCGCGCAGGGTATTGTGGTTGGAAGGGATCTTTTAAGTAGACACTGCGATAAGCAGGCATCGACTAAGGCTTCGAATTTGTCCTCTCACTCTTAAAAAAGGAACCTTTATTCCACGGACAGCTCAATAAACCCTTTGAGGGTTTAAAAACTCCCTATTCAGCAAACAAGTAATGAGAATACTCAAACTTATCAGGTTGAGGTTAATATCTTGATCTAGCACCAAATTCTTTTAACTAGGTTACAAAGAAACGTCAAGCAGTCAGAGGGGAGAATTAAACAGATCTTGGGAGTTAAAGGGTTAAACGGACTCGATCACTAAAATTGAGCCTTTTTGTGACCCAAAGCGGAGTAGTAAAAGCCAGAGGGAGTCTAACCGGAGTTCACAGCTTACAAAAGTTTCTTCATTATCTTAACTTATTGCCCACACAAAAGGAAGGTAGTACACTGTACGAGTTAAAGAAATGACAATTCTTTGCACGAAAATAGCGATAGCCTATTTCACGATATCTAAAATCAATAAATGTCTTCTAATATCACTTTAAATGTATGTGGCCAGGCAGGTTTCTTTACTGCTTGTAGTGCAGTGGTTCGTTGGTTGATGACTTGATCATTTAACCAGAGGGTAAATCATCAAAGTCTTCAGACTCAGCCAAGCTAGGTACGCTCTCTGATCTTTCTATACTACCGGGTCCATCCCAGGATGCTTGAAGACGTTCCTGATCAATAGGGTCGTTTTTCGGAGGCATGAACTTGACCCCGCTGGGTTTTCTCAAACAAACCCCGCTCTCATTATCATAATCGTAGTCATCAAATGAGAAAGTGAACACCTCGCTTTTGTCTTCTTTTGTCTCAAAAGGTTCCTTGATAACCTTGGTATCGACGTCTTCTTCGTCAATTGGACAAGTGCCCTCTTCTTTACCCTTTTGGAGATATTTCCAAAATCTCTTTTCTACAGATATCTCTTCCGCCATCTTGAGGATTTTGGGTGACTTGGGCGGCCTTATTGGTGTTACCTCAATTATATTTTCGTCAGGTGACTCGGTGACAGCTTCTACCCCACCAGTTTTCAAACTTCGAACTTTCTCTAGGAAATTTGACGGTGCCCAACCTACAGAATGGCTTGAAGTGCGCACTAGCCACCAGCCCCCCTCCGATTCTTCTAAAAGCTCAACCTCGGCATTCTCTCGCAGATTTACTTCCTGTTCACCTTCTTTTTCGTATAATCCCATAGCGTAGAATTTTTTATTCACCAGCTCCGGCATATTTTCAGTATATTCTTCGCCTTCTTCCTCGTCTTCGTCTTTCACATCAGGTTGTTTGTCTTCATCACCATGGGAATCGATGACAGCGTTTTCAGAGCTAGATCCATGTGCGGTTTCCTCAACCGGGAATTCAAAATCCTTTTTTGTTTCCTCTTCCGGAAGTTTAATCGGGCGGAAGTGATAACGTTCGTCGGAACAAGAAAGTGGGCGACTTGAGTTGTTGGAAGTCTGAGCTAGCAACGGGCTCGGGATAGGACTCGTCCCGCGGGAAACAGTTTCCGGATCCTCCTCTTCCACCATTGATAAAGGCCTGGGCTTCAATAAGCCATTAATCTGCACATTGCTATTTTCAGAATTGACCTTAAGGGTGCTCTTTGATTCTCCGCTTAATCTGCATCCTGCTCTTACTTCAGTTGGGTCTTGTTTCTGACGCGGATTTCGTCTTCTTTGAGGGTTCTTGGTGACTTGATGAAACTCAAGATTTACGTATGATCTCGCAGGCTTTGAGGTGAAACTGTTATCTTTCCCAGTAGAGCTGGAGACTGCCTGGTTTGCTTTATTCGTCTTCTGGTAAAATTAGGATGTTAAGAACAAAGCAAAAATTAAGAAATGGACATTTTCTATCCTATAAAAGGTGTAAAAAAACTAACAATTCGCACCACACTCTTTTTCCTGGCTGATGGGTCCCACGTTTGTCTTCTTCCTGGAAGAAAGAGAAAGCTTTATTTATAGAAGGTAGCACTTAATAGCTAGAAACTAATGAACTTGTGGTCCTCAGAACACCCACCCATCCCACCCCAGGGGAGGACATCCATCACACAGTAATCTCGTGCGTGGGAAATTAACGTCTCCTACTCCTAACCCTGCAGGAGACGGGACCTACGGTTATTTCGTCCTTATCCGAGAAGACTAGAATATCTATCCATTTCTTGATATTATAGAAAGCTATCAAATTCTCCTCTGGGTGTTGGTCCAGCAGAGGCTTGAACCCTCGACCTCCCGAGCAACAGTCCGGTGCTCTCCCGATTGAGCTAACCAGGAGGCGGAAAGGAGACGAACTGTACTTTTAGAAGACAAAGGGAACAAAGATCATTAAAATTAGTCAACGGGGTAGACTGCTGGACCAAGGAAGGGACGCACCAGAGAAAGGCGACTGATATGAATCTGCTTCTGCGCGAATTCTATTTTCCTTACCAGCAAGCACAGAACTGCTATTCAAACGCGTGTCTCTGAGCATAGCTCTCACCGCAGCCTGTTTTCCTTTCTGTCTTGCATTGAACTGGGACGAGGCCACCTCTCTCAGATACATTGATGGAGCCCAGCCCTCTTTCTCTTCAAACCTACCGCGAGAAAAATTATCTTGTTGCTCGTAGACACCAGTCAACATACTTTCGAAATTTTCTTTGTTAGATTTTAATCCAAACATTAATTATTTAAGTTAGGTTTCTCTAGAACATGATTAGAACTCACTTGATGAGCCACCATCCATCCAGATTTTTCTGAATCACCTTCACCACCTTTCCCATTTCAAACCCAACCTCATCTTTAAGTTGAGGCTCATAGACGTCCATAGAAATATATGTTTCCTCTGTGTGTCAAGAAAGACAAAATCAGAGCAGAGCAGTTTTTTTCCTTTTTCTCTTTTTGACAATTTCGTACAAAATGAATCTTCAGGATAATCTGGAAGTCAGCAATGGGCCCACGAAGGATTCTTAATGTAATTGGAACAAAATTGAGCATGACAAATTGGCATTAGCAAGCGGGGGAGAGGGAATGATAGTACCGTAGATTAGCCGCATTTTGGGGAATGGGAGCATAAATTTGCCATCACCCAAGGTTATGATTCACAGGCGTGTTTCCACAGAAAGCGACAAACAGAAATGTATAAATTCTGGACCGAAAGGGAAGTTGATGGGGAAAAAGGTCATTCAGCTGGCTATTGTGGAGCGACAGTGTATACTTCATACATAAAAAAGGTGAAGAGATCGTAGCTGTGCACTTTACCCTCTCCTTCCTCGAATATCTCTAACACCTGATCATCCATGCTGCCGTCCCGGGGTTCAAGATAAGATGCTGGTACCCAGCCCACCTCTTTGTCAAGGTCCACAAACCACCAACCTTCAATGAGAAGCATAATAGTAAAATATTGGTGAGATCACTTGAAAGACACCAGTTATTTAAATGAAATCAGCTGAGGATCTAAAGCTAACCCTGATGCAGTGAAACGAAGAGGAAGTAAATCCATGAAAAAATATACCCCGACAATTTTCAATGAACAAGTCGCTGCTGCTCTGGTTATAGCAAAAAGAAGTCATTACCACGTAATGGAAAAAGGTTGCTGAGTAAGATTCAAAATGGTGGGGTATGCAGAGAAATTTTCAGCATCTTTGAAGACGATTTCCAAAAATTAAAGGTTATGTCAGTTACTTTTCGGATTTCAATTTCTTGCCCTGAAAATTATAACGGAGTGTGCAGGGCACGCGCAGCGAAGGAAGCCCTCAATACTTAAAAAATTGTAATAATTATAAACCATGAAGCCAAGAAAATTTGATTTATCACATGGTCTATAGAGAATGAGTTCATATGGCTGTCACGCCTTTAACAAGCTGGACATTGCATCACTCACCGTGTTCATTTTTCTGGATAACTTCCACGACGTTCCCAGCGTTGAGACTTATGTCATTTACTCCTGTACTTTTGTAATCTGCGATTGCTACGTACTGCTCTAGTAAGAATGGCTCCGATATGTGATGAATGTCTGATACAGGAAATTTAAAAATTTCTCTTTAAAAAATCAATTTCTTATTTTTTAGTTGTCTTTTAATGCGGATATCCATCTACTTTTTGATCAACTAACTTGCAACAAACATCAACAACAACAAAAAAGCGTGATTTGCACAACATCGTGTTTGCAAAATCATTTCTACTGAACGCCCAATGTATGTCTCGAATTTACGACTAAATCTCAGGTTTAGAGTTTCACTCTACCGACTAAGCTAGTCGAGCGAGACATAAGTGCGAACGAACAGGAATTTTAAGAGATGATTGTTACTGTTAATTAAAACAGTGTGTACATACAACAACGACAATATAATTTGTAGGGTGAAGCTTAATTAATTGCAAAATTTTTTTAAAAGGTTTTTGACCCCTGGGCTCAAGAGTTCATGTTAGATATTGTTTGATAGTAAAGCTGGCTTACGTTTTGCTTTAGATCCACCTCTATCCATATCTCGATGTTTTCTAAAGAAAAATAAAAGAATAATATTTCATTGAACATTTCTCTTGTAGCGGATCGCCTTTGTTTGAACTGCAAAAATATTAGAATGAGCTCTAATGATATGATAACTGATGTCTTTAAACCACGGAATGTGCGCCTTGGTGCGAGTTGTAGATGAAAGTTTCGACCTCATTTGATATCATCGGGATGGATTCTCTCATAAAAAAATAATAAGACACAAGTGCACTACAATTGTTCACTTACTCTGCTTGTTCATGGTCTAATTCGATAACATCGTCGGGAAGCGGATGAAAAAATTTTATCACAGGATCCGATCCAGAAATATGTTGAGGTTGATGAACTACAGACTGAGATAAAAAACAAATCGTTATTCGAATTTAACGTGAATGGCCAATCAGCTTTGACAAAAATTTGAAAAAAATTAAGAAAAAAAATCTTGCAGTTGGTGTCGTTGGAAAATTTTGCTTTTTACTCTGACGAAGGGCTAACGCTCGAAACTTCAGCCGAAGAAACTCTCTATAGTCGACACGTTACATTATCAACTCAGTTGATAAAACAAAATTATATTTTGTAATGCTATCTATGGCCACCGATACAACACCACCGTTTCTCCACAAAACTACCCCTTTCTTTTTCATGTCCTTTAGCTATACACCCTTTGAAATACTTTGTCAGCGGCAAATGTGGAATCTGGTGACTAGTAGTCTAGACCGCAATATTATTAACCTGCGGTGTGCGTTCGGCACATGCGCAGAGACAGTTCAAAAACATGTTCTCGAGTGCATGAGAGAACCGCCATGTCGAAACTTGTACTCGCTATGTACTCGTTGTGTTGTTTTACTAAGCGTGGCCGCCCCTTTTTATTCTGTCACTAGAAGTTTCTGATTAAGTATTCGTTGATTAAAGTCGATTAATTCAGTCTTGTGGTTTACACAGCAAACTTGAAAAGATTATGGCTGCTCTGACTTCAAGAAATGAGCTTCGTTGTGTCAACATGACATGGCTAAGTTATAACTTACTTTGAGGAATTCTTGTACGACAGGCATTCTTTTTAATGCTTTGGCTCGTTTTTTAATAGTAAACCTTTCAGAAAATGACTTTTCTGTGGAGAAAATGTTGGAGACGAAATGAGATATCGATCCTAAAACGTATGTTAGCCAAAAATAGTCATGTTGACCAAACATTTATGGAGCTTCCTGACTAACTTTTAATTTACCTTTGAGCAGGGTTCCGAAAGGTGTTTCATTGTCATTGTTCAGGAGGAAGTCTTCTATTCTTAGTAACTTTTCCTGTGAAACAATCACACCACATAAGATCTCGTGGTGTTCTCATAGGTTGTTCAACTGGCATGAAACTCTCCACAAAGGGGGCACAAATTTGCTGTAAGAAATTTTTTTATGCCATAGTTGATGTAATCTCGGGGATATAATGCATTAGTTAGGAGACTAAAACGATTTCTTTGTTTAAAAGTTTATGTCAAGTTCTTTTTTGTATCGGACCATGAATCAAGTTCGATTGCATTCGAAGGATGTTGTACTAACGTCCCATCGCACCATTGATTCATTTAGTTGCCATATATATGTTGCAACACCCAAACAAATGATTACGTCAAGGAGCTCCCAACATAAGCTCAGGCACCGTGGTTTTTAATTTTGATTATTTCCAATTTTCATAGCCAGTCTCCTGTCGGACAGACTATGGTGAGATTCAGTAATACGAGTACCTGTAGTTCAAGGAGGTTACTGTAGCTTCTGTAGACTGGAGTGATGGGTCCGCTATGCCAATGAACTTGAATGGAGTATACCTAACGACGAATACAGAAATTAGTTCAATTGATTATCCTGTCTCATTTAGAATTAAGGAATATCAGAAAATGCCTCCATAGAGATCTTTCCTGCGCCTAGCTGTAGCTTTGGACATTGCGTTAAGTTTAGTCCATTAGAAACACCACTTTGTTGTTACCGTCGTAATACTGACTCGTTGAAAATGGACATAATCTCTTCAGAAACCTCTTTATTTTGAGAGCCTCATATTAGAGTCCCTTTATAGTCCCCAAGGATCTTGAATCCCTCGTCAGATCCATTACAATTTTGCATTTATTTTGTTCAAAGCTAATTCCTGCCAATAAAATGATTTTGATAAGATGTTTAATCGATGATTGGACCTCCAATGGCCACGTGTCCAGCACTTGCCTAAGACTGGAGGGCTGTTACTAAAGCTCTTCCGATTCAAGTCGTTTCCCGACAACCTCGTTCCCAGGGTCCTCCATCTTCCTCCTTTCTCGAGGGAGAAAGGGAAAGGACCCTGGGAACAAGGTTGGTTTTATGACCCTTCGAAAAAAGCTTACGTAATGTTTTCTTGGCTTTGTTCTTTTGCATATGTCCTCTACAGAGACGTCTCTGACCTGTGTTAGGCTCATGGCACTGGAATGGAAAAAAGAAACTTTTTAGAACTGATCATTCCTGGCATTATTCCCATGGCAACGCACACTCTGTTGGCTATTCATGAGCACATGTGTTTTGAAATAATGACCTCGAACATGCTATTAATTTATTTGTTCTCCTTCAGAAATTATAAAGCTTTGCGCTATTTTAAGAATAACTAGTAAAATACTTTTTCTTTTTATTGCTCAAAAGAAAAAAACAACTACAAAAAAAACTACGTCGCGTCAAAATTTAGCGCGCCCAACGTGGGGCTCGAACCCACGACCCTGAGATTAAGAGTCTCATGCTTTACCGACTGAGCTAGCCGGGCGACGTGCTTGTCGCAACAATTATCAATTGACTGTTTAGTTCACTTTCTTCCTCTTCTGTGGACTCTGAATTAGAGCATTAATTAAGTTTATCCCTGATTTTTTGCGCTTTTAATAAGTTTTAAACCCTCCCCTCACATAAACAGTGATTCTATCTCGAACTTTCCTGCAGCAAGATCCATTTGCAACTGGCAACCCCTAAGAACATTATCCGCTCCCGTTTTCCTTACGTTGTGGAACTTCGCTTGTTTACAGCAGAGCCGGAATAAGATTGAACAAACTTGGATATCATTTATCGTTAGAAATTAGGAAAGGTTCGACTACACTCCGCCGGCTTCTCGTGTAATCAAAGGAAATTCTACCTAAACCAGTCTAATGGCAGGGCTACACTTAATACTTAAAATTACTTTGTCTTTGTACTTATATGTTTGTTCTATCATATTGGTAGAGTTACTCACACATTGTACAAATAAATGACAAGCAATTAGCAACGAATTACTCATTGTCGACATGTACAGACTTAACCAAGCGATTATATCAACCTGATTCATCTCTTTAGATTTTTTGTGGCGATGGCAGCTTTCCTTTTCGCGATTCAAATGCGAGGGCAAGGAAGCCGAAAGTTTGTTACTTTCAAATGAGAAAGACATGCGATACATAGTAATGTAATTATCGGATTAAGTCAAACATCTTTCTTAGAAATCTAAACTGTTTGATTAGCTATGTCCGGTCATTAAACATATGGCCTCGAAAGAAGGGTAAAATCAAGACAATTCTTTTTAATGAACTGAGCTTATAAGGTTGTTCTTAGTTCTAAAAAGGTCTACACACTTAGCTTGTTTCTTCCTTATTCGCCAATATCATTTAATGCTTTAGGAAGTAAAAGAAACTTAGGAAGATTGACAGAGCCATGCCATTAACTTACGTCAGTCAGAAACTTCTCAGTGATGACCGGCTGAAATCCTGTTGACATGAATTTCAGACAATGACGCACAAAAATCAAAACTGACAACAAATCGCAGGGACTACAAAAACTTTGTTACGAACTTCAGGAAGTCTTGACTGTCTTTACTTCGAGCAGAGGAAAGTTGTTTCCTAAGGGACGCAAGCTAGCCCTGGTAACCCTGAGTGACCTGGTTAAGAGAATTAAATGTTTGAGACCTCACAATCAAACGTAAAATCATAACAGTTATTTATCCTAAAGGTAATAGAGTTTTCTGTTTTCAGCCGTTTTGGGTGTCCTATTTTTATGAACACGAGGCATTTGATCTTGACGTCAATTTATCAAAAAATAATTTGCGTGCGGTACCAAACTACTCAAGTAGAAAAGGTGTGGATGACTTTCAGACAAAGGAGCCGCACGAAAAATCAGAAATCTAGGCTATGAATGATAACCTTGCTTATTAATCTCACTCATTACTGCGAAAATCGCTCTCACACTCATTTCTTTAACCGCGGTTCACAGATATGATTTCCATATATTCAAACGTTGACTCGCCACTTCACGGGTTTATTACGAACCAACATAATGAGCAGCTCCCAGTTGGCTTGTGAGCTCAGTTGGTAGAGCACTGCACCAGTATCGCAGCCGGGTTATGGGTTCGAATCCCGTACAGGCCTGAATCTTTTTTCAGGCCTTATTTTCACTACTGCAAAGATCGCAGTTCACATATATGGTTTTCACTTTGTATTCACAAACGTTTACTTACCATTTTAGTCGGCGGCTGCAGGGAAAGCTAACAAATTTAAGGTGGTTTGTTATAATTTTACGTAAATTACTGTATTCGTCTGTGTCTGGGATTTAAGAAATATTTGATATACAAGTATTCTCCAGTTTTAGTTCGTCGGCGTTAAGGATTCTGAAAAGACAAATAAAATCTTACCTGAGAGTTAACACCGGGATCCTTGGTTGTTACAACATCAAGTTACATTGATATATCACAGAGTTTTTCACAACTTCAGACTGTAACTCGAAAAACACTTTCCCGGCCGAGAGTTAGGCACTTCAAGTGAAAGCGATTTAGAAATCTTTCAAAGTAAACAGATTATTGTTTTCCATATTTAAATCACGCCAAATGACTGAAAGTTTTTGTTTACAGTGTGAGGTGGCTTTATTTTTGAACCAGAGATTTAAAAAAACTTCTGGCGATTATACACTTTTAAGCTCTCTAGATCTCATTATTGTTATGCTGAACTGATGTTACAATATAAGCTGCTTCGACAAGTTTCTCAGGTCTATTGTCGTGCCTTTTTCTTCAGAAGAAAACGCCACCATTTCTTACATTCTTTGGTAACTACTAATACGAAGAAACCAAGGAGATACCAGTACACAAATATAATAGAAAATCGCACATCACTCAAAATAACCACTGTTATCTTGAGTTGGAATTCTAGTTTTTCAAAGTAACCAGTGAAAAAGCTAACTCCACTTCGGTATTCAACCTTGATTTCAGCCGTTTTCTCAAATCCGGTCCTCAACCCTCCCAAGAGGGGAGGGGAGGAATGCGGGCTCATTTCCCGAACGGTGGTTGGTTATGGGAGTCCAACCTGTATTGCAACGAAAAACTATCAACATCGAACTCAAAGGTTACCCAAACCCGCTGGCTGCACTGAGAACAAAGGGTAGTGGGTCACCTGATAAATTATCCATTGAATGATGGGAAAATTTTCCTAAACAAAGACACATTTGTTGTTTGGATTATTATCCCCTTAGCTTCCTCACAAATTGATAATTACTATATCAGGCAACTAATTTTTGGATTTAGGTTTGAGGGCATTTTGATTAACTGTTTTAAAACCTATGCCAGCATCATTCCAACAAGCAGTACATGTAAAGAAAAATCCCACCTCCTACATTTGTACCTTTTTTTTTTTTATTTTAAACTTTTAAGTTTGGAGGTCAGGACAATAAGCTGACAATTTTGGCTTTTTTTTTATCATTTTGGGCTGGTATCTGATCAATCAATGTCTTAAAATACTAACATGAATAAACCAATGATTTAGAAAAACAGAAAGGAGATAGGTGTCGAGTTTTAAAAAGGAAGAACTTACAAATCCACATTAATAAAGAGGAAATAATTATGTCAATGAAAAGGACCAAGGTATAAGAAAGTTCTCAAAGAGAAAACCAGAAAATACAGTTTGTTATTCTAGTGGAAACATTCTGATGTCCTGTACAAACACCACCTTGTTGGAAAGGTGTTTCCATTACTCACTTTGACCTTTGACTTACAGAGGTCTTAATGCCAGTTGTTTACTAAAGTTCTATTTACACACTAGAGACAATACAGCTGTTTCCTTTGGAAATGGTTCCCAAAATATCCAAAAAGTGAGCTATCTTCTTCTCTGGAAAACATTGCCTCCTCTGCCGCCACGAGTGGGTGCTCCTCTTCCTCTTGCGGCAGCTATGGAAAAAAGAAAAAAACAGCACATGCATTTAGATGTAATAGTACTTCATAATGTTTATAAAATTCTCCTGACGACCACAAAACAAAGTTCATCCCAAAGGTAAAAAGAAGATTCCTGTAACAAAGAAAAGTCATGTGAAGGTGTAGTCTGATCGTCCGGGTGAGTGTAGTCCTGAGAAGGACTGTTGTCGGTGGTAGTGACTGACGTTTCCAAACGTTGTCGAAAGGTCAGTCACTACCACCGACAACAGTCCTTCTCAGGACTACACTCACCCGGACGATCAGACTACACCTTCACATGTAACCCCTGGGTTCAAACCATTTACTGCAAAGAAGAGTCAGCAATACTTTGTGTATGGAAATCAATTCTGCACGAGCCACACATAAACAAGTCTGATTTCTGTTAGGGGCAACATGACTATGTTTGGGAGCAAGGTCACACAGTTAAGGGGTGATGCAACTTGTGCAAACATTGCACTGGGGTGACATGACCTACATTTGAACAAAATATAATTTCAGGGCTTCCAAAAAGTTGATACCAAGTCAACCCTAGCTGTGGCAGAATGTGAAGTATTCAACAGCCAATGAATCACAAACACAATTCCTGTTCAGACAGTGATTTAAATATGCATGACGCAGTCACTATGCCAAGCATGATCCATCAAATCTTTACCTTATTACAACCTGACCCTAACCATGGTGCAGCACTGCAGTGGAAAGCACACCCACCCACTACTAACAGTTTCCAACTTGTATTTACCGCTTGTAATCACAACCTGTGTTCCTTTCCTTGCAAATCCAATTGATTTACAAACTGAAAACCAGAAACCTCTCTTAAAGAGGTATAGCTGACTAGTTAGCTCTAGAACTAAAAGGCAAGCACACAGGTGCAGTTGACATTAACAAACACCTCTGTGCATGGCCTTGGCTATTCAGTTCCAGCCTTCTACAGGGCTCGACAATAACTTTTCAACTAACAAGCCAACTGGCTAGTAACAACTTAGATATTAAAACAAGTCCAGTTTGTTTACTACCCAAACTGACTAAGACCACTGAATTTCTACTAGTCTGTGGTTAGTTTGCTACCATTAGTGTCGAGCCCTGCTTCTTCTATATGGAAACTAAATGTAAAACTGAAAGGCTGTTACTTTATCGATACAAAACAGTAATTCTGTACCTTGTGCTCTCAATATAGCAGATTTTCCTCTTCCCGCCGCTCCGCTGCCTCCTGAACCTTTCTGCGTCATTTTCTTGAACATTGGAGCATTTTTCAACATATCCGGAAGAATCAGAAATCGAATCTTGCTTCCACGAATAAAAACTTGTTCTAGCTGTGAAACTCGTCCATCCCTTGCAGTTACCGTGATGTTTGACATCTGGCAATTCATGTTATCTTCAGCCTCGACCAGCTTTCCTCTGTATACTTCACCAGTCATTGTTTCGAGCGTGACAACATGTCCTTCTGCTTCATGCAGAATCTTAATTGGCACTCCTATCGACATCTTCGATTAAAATAAACAGAAGTATTTTTGTTTGTCAACTATTCAGTGAAGATAAAGTTGTGAAAACGCTTAGATGTATTAGATTGTAAAAGCTTCTTCACCAACGTCCACGTCCTCGTTATCCCGAACGTTTCCAAACGTTACAATCCGAGAATCCGAGGAGAACTGGGAGAGAATAAGGCTTAGTGACCAAGCCTGAGTAGTTGTGTAAGGAACAAAACAAACTCTTACTAAGCTTATCGACATAATTATTTTGATCTGGATGATTCGTAGAGGCAGAGTCCTAAGGTATGCTTTATTTAAAGCATGATAGTGCTAATTTGAGAGAAAAACCTTTGGGAGATTTTATTTAAAAGCTGGAGTCTAATAATGCCGGGATACAAAATTTCAAGACAACGAAAGAGGAAAGGTACAAAATTCAAGGTAAACATATTAGCTGTCGACTGTATGTATAATTTATCAGCTTCCCATTAGTTCTGCTCAATTTTTAACTAATGAACTGTTTTATGCAAAGATTTTTGGAATATAATCGATAGATAGGGCAATTTCCTGTGGTTTCTCACGTTCTTAGATATGTTGATTACAGCGCTTTTCATTTAGCTGTTTTAGTTCTGAGCCCTTCATTCCATGATCACGCACGGTGTTTGGACCCAAAAATTTTGGTAATTGGTTGTCTTATGGGAAATTTAAAACAGTCCTTGCGTGAAATCTTGGGGAGCAAACTAAGGTCATTATGGTAGATGTGAAAAAAGCTGATTGGAAATGCATCAACACAACCTTTCAGTTCTGTGGTCACACTTTTTGTATGAGATTTTTGCATTGGCATTCTTTTGTTTTCTTACAGTTTGGCAACATCTATCTGTCCAAAGAGAAGTGTAGACTAATCCAGATGCGAAATCAATAGGGGCAGCCTAAGTGTATTATGGAAGATATGGAATTGGGGAATCGTGAATGCCTATATTTCAATTTAAATCTAAGACACCAGTAGTATCTCTAAAGAAAAATGATGGGAAGACTTTTCTGAGAACTTTATATGACCAAACGAATAGACTTTGCTGAATACTTGAGTGGCTAGAGCTGTCATATGCTTCTGATGAAGGATGTATGATTTTGATCAACAACATCAAAATATCCATATCCATTCTTGCTCAAGGTTTCGTTTTCTATTTCCTCTTTAGTGTGCTTATCATTTAATAAATTGGACTTTAGGTCCGTTACATCAAGGCTTCGGTCCTCAGTTAACAGTGGTATTGCCTGAGATGCATGACATCTTGCGTGACTTTTCCTTCGCGGTACATTTTCCACTGTGGGGCATGGGGTTAGGAGATTTGTATGTAAACAAAACGTTCAAACCGGACCAACTCGCTGGCGCGCTTCCCGCTCTTCCGGAAAAATGTGTTTTTCTTTCACTTCTTCGTAGTATCTCACGCACAGGCAGCCACATCACAGAGAGCACACACATAGGCAAAGGAAGACTTCTATTATTTCTTAAATGTTTCGTCTGCAGATAGAACTGCCCCACGTTAAACAGAAAACAGACTGGGACTGTGGATTAGCATGTTCGTTGATGGTGTTACAGAAGGTTTTAGGGAACAAGTTCGATAACTCAGAATATGAAGACATTTGCGAGAAAAAGAATTTTGGAAGCAGTGTTTGGACCATAGATATCGCCAGTATTTTCACAGAGTACAAGATCGATTACGTTTTCTGCACTAAAACTTTGGGAGTAGATCCAAGTTATGGGCAAAACTCGTTTTACGAAGGAACCTTCACCTTGGACGAAACCAGAGTAAATCGTCTTTTCACTCTCGTACCACAGTTAGGATTAAAAGTAGAAAAAAGGTGAGTTTTCTTAAAAAATCCAAAAATTGTCAAACTTTAATTTTTGGCCGAAGCTTGACAGAATTTTTAGTAAACGAAACAAAATTTTTATTTGCGTGACATGCATTGCATTAATAAGTTTCCCCTTCAACCCGTTTGACGTCTAATGACGCAATGTGAACTCTCAGTAGTTCCAGTCCAAATATTTTAATTCGTATATTCAGTTTCTTTATCGATAGCAACATACTCAAATATATTCCAGTACAAATATTTTTGTTCGTATATTCAGTTTCTTCATTGATAGCAACATACACCTGCTAAATGCAAATTTAAAGAAGAGGGAGACGCCATTGCCTGTTCACTTCGTACGTGATGCGAGTTATGTGCGTAGATATATAATCACTCAGTTGACCTTCTGTTCAACATGGTTATTTTGTAAACAAACCTGCGTAAAATCCCGATATCATCTTTATTTTTACGTACAGCGATGGGCCCTTTCCTTTAGGTCTATATTCAAACCTTAAAAATTATTACAAAACTCGTGAGGTCATATTTTACCCTGCGAGCAGAGGTCCCTTCTATCTTCCCCTTCTCTTCCTCTTCTCTTTCTGTTCTCGCCTTAACTAGGAACATCGGAGAGACCTCTGCTCGTAGGGTAGCCATGTTTGATCCATTAGAAGATATTCCTATATTCACAATTCCGGGATTATCAATTTTTTTATATATTTTTTAGTGATTTCCAATCTAACTTTTAGTTGATTCGTATAAAGTGAAATATCAATTGAAAGCAATTGCAGGTCAGAATCAATGATAAAACACCTTTAAGGAACGACTGAGTTGCTTGATCCAAAAGACACATAAAATTCATCCCCAATTACAGAATCTAACAGGATATATCAATAATAAAGGCTTATGAAAGATAATTATAAAAAAGATTCCATGTTTTGGTGCATTTGTTCAGCTGACATCAACATTTGATGAGAACAAAAGCATGGCACACAGTCAGGTGCAGCCAAGTCTGCCAATGACGCTCTTACTTCATTTTGACATATTCTGTGATCTATTGATATACAGACCTACAGCAACTTGGAATCTATTTGTACTTTATGATGATAAAGCAAAAATTTGTTAACAGTGACATCATCTGTCTGTCCTCCAACAGATCATCGGTAAAAACTTATCAGAGTGCCTGTATAATTCTGCTTATCATACAAATACAGGGAATTAATGATTAGGTCAATAATAGAGACATGGAGCATGATGATTACAGCTACTTTTAAATGGCTGTATTGGGCTTATCATCTATTTTTCTATTCTTAATTCAGGAGTGTTTCATTGGAAGAAATTATTTCAAGATTGCTGAAGGGTTATATTGCCATTGTTCTTGTGAACTCAAATGTTTTAATTTGCCACTGGTGTGAAATATTTTCTCCAAATAAACTAAGGATGCTCACATCCTGTATATGCGCGTCAAACCAGAGTGACTACTGTGGTCATTATATAGTATTATGTGGATTTGACGCAGATAAGAGATGTGTGTATTACAAGAATCCATCATTTAACGAAGTTCTTTGCTGTGCAAGGTATGACATGTTTGAATCAGCACGATGCAGTTATGGAACAGATGAGGACATAGTGTTTGTCAAAGTAGAGGAACCTGAACTTTTGAAGGAGACATTTATTAATACTACAAACAAATTATGATTGAAGTAAGGTTTCAAATCACAAAGCCATAATCATGATGAGAATTATATTCAAATTTTTTCTGAAGCATCACTACTGTTTTACTAAATAGCACAAACATTTCCCTTCGTCTCTCTTACTTTATTTTCTTTCCCAGTTATTTGTTTAGCTTGCCCTACAATTCTTAAAATGTTACTTGAGAGAATTTGGTATTGGATCAACTAACAATCCCCAAATTTTTCTTCATTCCCATCACTTGCCTGCTTTATTTTGTAAGGAGAAACTCTGTCTTGGTCACTCATAGGAGTCAAAGGGTCAACATGGTTTTTCACAATGCTTGTAGTGATTTGAATGAAATTTGCTAGAAACAGGCCAATACGGAAATATAATGAAATCTATGAATTTGTTTCATTAAATGATCCCAGTCATTACTGTTGAGTGGAGATATGGGTTGTCTGTTGCCATAAAACAGCTCTAAAATTAAACTCAAATATAATTAACATTGCTCTCTCCAACAGAGAACAAAAACATTTTGCGATTTGTGAAATCAAAGTATATTCTGTATTAATAGGTTTTACTGTGTGCTCTTTTTTTGGAACTTTTTCATAAATATTAATAGTGTAATACCAAGTAAGGGTATCCTTGAAGACTTTAATTTTGTCAAAGTGAAATACTGGTCACCTGGTTTAGTCTAAAACATCAATGTTGTAATAAACTTTCAGTTGTCCTTCTGTCAGAATATGATCATTTTATTAACTGAATGTCATTATCATTCCTCGAGTAACTTTCTAATTATGATGTTCCTAAGGTTGGAAGATATTATGTACTCATGTGTACTATTACTAAAAATACCATGAAATGTAAAGTACTATGTAAAATCTGAGGATTTTAAGGATATTTGAAGGTTTAAGTTCAAGAAAAGGGAAACTTGACTTGAAATAGAGTTCCTAACACTGAATTCTGTAAATTATGTAAATGATGACATTTAAGTATTATATTGCATTTGCAATATATTTAAGGACTCCCCTTATCATTCAAGGAAATGTTAGTAATAAATTGCTATTATGATTTTTAGTTGCTTTTCTCTGAGTCACACCATGCAAGTTTTGAACTGTGCCACATCTGGGAGGTTGTCTGCATCTAACTGCAAAATACAGTCATCTTTTGGTCTCAAGAGTCATGGGTATCTTATATATTCAGAAGATCTTTCAAAGATATCCATGATGGTAATAGGGGCTACATCATTCAGTGAAAGAGAGAGGGAGAAGGGTAAAAAGTATGCAAAACATGAAAATGGTTTCCACACAGATTCTCTTTTTATTATGGTCACTGCATCATTGTTAGTAAACCATCACTACATCATCCTTCAACTTTAATTATTACATTCATGTTTTCTTTCAAATAACAATGTTTACCAGTCTCAAAGTCTGTAGAAGAACAGGCCTCTAATGATGCTAACATTTGTCCTTTCAACAACCACAAAATTATCACTTACAAGAGTCCAACCTAAATAAATGCGCACTTGTTGCTCAGACAATTGTTTGTGACAAAAGTGGATCCCTGGACAACTTTACACCATATTAAACCAAGTACAGCAATTAAGAACACTTGAGCTGCAGGACTTATAAGTTAGGTAACTGGAAATCTACAGCTTGGCTGTGGGGTTATCAAGAAGTTCATATGCTGGCAGAGTCAAAAACTCTTCAAACTCTTCAGAGAGTACCAACTTGTCTAGAAGGTGAGAAGCCTGTGCCAAACGACTCTTAGATGGACCTCCAAGTTTTTCAAGCTCTTCTTTGTGTAAGGTCTTGTAAAACTCTGGGGTGAAGGGACGTCCATCCTCTAGTCGTACACCATGACGCAGCCACTGCCATAGTTGTGCTCGTGAAATTTCTGCTGTGGCTGCATCTTCCATCAAATTGTGTATGGCCACTGCTCCAAGCCCCTGTTGAGAGAAAGATAAACATGGGCAAGGCTAACAATATGCCTCTGTGGATAGCATATTGAACAAATATATCACTCCTACATAGAGGGTTAACTTGTCATATACATATAGCTAGCACAATGAAACAATCCACTAAGCTTAACAGAAGATTGGTGAAAACTTGAGGAAAGAGTAACCATAAATTAATGACTAGGATCATGGAAAACCCTGGTTCCTGAATGGGTTTTGAAGAAAAACAACTATATAAAGGATATGGGACTATAAAAAAGGGAAACAACAAATATTACCGACAACCAGCTGCTCAGATACTGAAGAGCAACACCGATGTTAACTCGCACGCCTTCCTCAGTGATCTTTCCTCCTGGTACAGAGACTGACAAGATCTCTTCAACCTTGACATTTACTTCCTCCCGAAGGCGATGTTTTTGATGGGAGGCACCATGCAAGCCCTATGAACAAAGACCAAATGTGCTACAGGTAGTGTCAAAAATGGGCAAACTACCTAAGCATGGAAGTATTTAACATTGAAAATTATATTTTCAAAAAAGAAAATCCTCAAGAAAAATACTGTGATCACTTTTTATAGCCCTAGGAGAGCTAAAAGTTTTGGAGGTGATCACTACTTTTTGCCAACTCTTAAGACTTGATACATCTCTGGGAAATAATCTTTTACAACTGACACACAAAAAGCTTTACTAATTGAGTATGTATTATTTGTGTTATAATATTAATTGCTTCTGATGTGGATCTTGACCTTTCAACTGCATCCTGATGGTCTTTTTCATGCAATGAAGTCAACAGGTCAAGCATCAACTTTTGAAGCAATTTGCTCTGGTCTGATTAAAGCATTTTGATGACCTGTTCCCTCACACAAAAAGCTTGCAGGTGAATAAACTGAGTATAGATACAACTTTCTAGCTGTAAAATAGCACTCTAAATTGATTCCCACCTTCATAAAGATTCCCTTGGCAAAAGGTACAAGATCAGGATGTGCAACCCAGGTGCCATCAAATCCATCAGCCACTTCCCGCTCCTTATCCTGACGGACCTTTTCAAATGCCATCTTATTGACATTTTCATCTTTTCTGCTTGGAATAAAGGCCGCCATTCCACCCATTGCATGAGCTCCACGCTGATGGCACACCTGGACAAGGCGCTCTGTATATGCTCGCATGAATGGTACTGTCATTGATATCTGCAAATCAAAAACAATTGCATAAGTATTTGTTAGACTTGCACAATTATGTTGACCCATTAACCCCTTAAAGAGGCCGTCCAAGGGGTTTTGGCGACAGACGACATTGCTCAAAAATGTGGCGACAATCTCTTTCCAATTCACTGACAGCCGACAAAAACTGAAAGAAAAGGGCGACAATTTGCAGCAGGGACAACCCATTTTATTTTCGACAGAGCAACGTCTTTTCGCTTTGCTTTATTCAACAGCGACGTCGTTACCAGGCAGCGTGATTCCTATGTGACCACGCCAATAGACTATTACACAGTCAACAAATGTCATATATAGAGGATATTGCATGGCCGCACGGGGATACGAATTTTATCTTCGAGTGCTGAAAGTATCTCTCCCTTGTTCACTGCGCTCACTCGTGAGAGACACTTTCAGCACGAGAAGATAAAATTTGTATCCCCAAGCGGCCATGTAATGTTCTGTTTATTATATAGATACTGATGAAATTTCTACATAAAAAAGACAACTTTTTTTATTCATTTTCGAAACAGCAATTGGGAAATTATGTTGGTAACCATGGCCACACCAATATCCTCACACATGAAAGATAAAAATAGTATCTTCACTGCGTGCAGTGAAGATATGATATTTTAGTAAAAGGAGAAATCCTGATATTTCATCAGTATCTATATAATAAAATCATTATTCAACTGTTGTCACGCAGTCAGTCTCTTGTTTCCTGTTGTCATGTCATGGAACAAAGGTCGGCTCGTGTGTTGGCCAGTCACGCTTTTTCCGTTTTCTTGCGCCACATGCGAGAAAGTTCATCCATGTTTTGTTCATAGGTGTTAGGTCGGGTGACATTCTCGGGTCGACAGATCATTTCAAGTTTTCATGGGAAACATAAGAAGAAATTGCACAGTACTGCGAAGAAGAATAAAAAAAAAAAGGACAAAAAGAGCCATGAGAGGAAAGAGAAGTAAGGTAAGCTGCTTTTAAGTCAAACACTGAGGGGTCATAATTGATCCTAATTGCGGTTAATTACCAGCTCTACCTGCATGTTGCTTTAAATAACTTGATGACCTTTATTATAGCACAGTCACGACATTAACGATCATTGAGATTTAGCAGTGTTTCCCAATTAATAATTACCAATAATCCTATCATGTTCATAATATGGAGAGACTAAACATTACGTTCACGGTACAAGTGTATAAGTGTCGATTAAACGTAAGTGTTTAAGCACTGAGAAATGAGACGAAAATTTGAAAAAGAAGCCGTCGTTTGTGTTCACCGCAAATTTCGCGCAGGCTGCACTATTGTGAGCTGGTTAACTCAGTTCACATAGTAGTCTTTATTTTCTTACAGGATAAAAAATACATATCTTATCTATGCATATACATGTATACATATATATATGCATATACATGTATATGTACGTGCATATATACATATATATACATGTATACGAAGTGTATGAAGGAGTGCTGAATGTTTTCAGGGAGGCAAGAGATCTTTGCATTGAAGGTGATGACAATGGTGCAGATCTCGTCACAGAGGAAGCAGACTGCCTCGCCGATGATATAAACAGTTTTGTCTTTGCTGACTCTATTGCACTGTCTACTACATTTACTTCCCGAGGAAGAAGTATTCGGGCATCCACCAACCAGGCTTCAATTATAACTTACTCAACACATTTGGTTGGTTCTTTCGTCGCGCTTATGTCATCACCAAACTCAATTGATTAACTACTACCACTTAGCATCCATCCCTGAGGCGTGGCGAATTTAGTGCATAGTTTTACTTTTAAAACATTAACGGTTTTGTTTGGTTACGTGTCACTTTTGATAAATGAAAGAAACATTTAAAATCTTGCTCTAACGCTACTCTTTGTCACACCTCAAGGGTGGATGCAAATGGGAGTACCGGCCGGTAAGTTGACCGTAACCAGCGCTCCTCGTTTAAAATATGCGACGACCTCCGTCACGGCTGGTGTCCCAGTGCGATATGATGTGCTTTGGAAATCGAACTTCATTTGCGTTGATGCATATTTGATCAGCTGAGTTCCAGACGATGACAGCACGACGTTTGAATTGGCCCTTAGTCGAGCTCTTTATTCAAATGATCAACAGTACGCTTATCAACTAAAACACTTCCAAGAATTGTGTTCCTGTATGACTGTGTAAATGTAAGCACGAGACTGAGGAGAGAGGTACGAAAGCTTGGCCAGCGATTGACAATGAAACACGAATAAGAAGTCCTGAAGTGTGATTTTAAACCAAGTATGGGTGAGTCTCTGTGACTATTATTAGAAATGCAAAGTTAAACGTACACTGTTGATCTTCGCATACGAGCGCCAACAAAAGTAAATTATACAAGTTACAGATTGCATCCGATAAATTTAGTAAGACGGTGGCAATAATTGTATTATAGTAAACAAGCGACAGCAACATTTGTCCCTTACCAAACAAGCGACAGAGCGACATCAAAAACCCCCCTTGGAAGGCATCCTTAAAGTCCCTATTCAGCCCCAGAGGTTTATATATATTTCTATTCTTTGCATTATCCAAAAAAGTTTTTTTGATTGATTAAATATTTCCCCAGATATGCCGCCTCAAAGTTTGTCCTTTGGCCACGCCCTTTTTATTTGGCCGCGCTAAGTTAATACTGGTAACTAAAAGTCCCTCATGACGTCACAGCAAGAATGTCTTTCGATCGATGTGCCTACATTCACTTGAATATGCCTTGAGATGAATCTGGTGTATTTGAGCAACCAGCGAACACGCAACAAGTTGGCATTTTCACGTCATTTTACAGCAATAGACACATGTTCTTATACAAGAAGTTAACATTCGTCCTTGTTGTGACATCACTTGGCCCAGTAATTCTCTCCTTGCCAAGTCAAAAGGGTATGGCCAAGAGTAACTTTGAGGCGGCATATCTCGGGAAATATTTAATCAATCGCAAAATTTTTTTTGGAGATTAATCCTGATAACGCAAAGAATCGAAATATACATAAACCTCTGAGGGTAAATAGGGACTTTAACTCCCATGAGTGACCAAGGTAGAATTTCTCATTACAATATTAATACAATATTAATACAATATTAATACAATATCAAGTAGAAGAGTGACGAGAATAAAGAAAAAATACAAATTGGGAATTATCAGTTTATCCAATACCAAAATCTGTGAACTAACATCATAAGAATTCCCCACTCCAGAAACTATTGGGAATCTGGGCACGAACTTGACTCGTAGGGTCGTCTGGGATCGTTTGGGTGGACACGCGAAACTTCAAAATGGTGGTAGCGAGGAAAGTTTTCGCAAAACACTAAGGAAAAAAATGGTAAAGCATGCTAATTGTTGTGTTCCTGGATGTACGAATAATTAAAGAACCAAGGATGGGCTTTCGTATTACCGAATTCCAAAGGACAAAAAATTACGAAGACAGTACAAAATTCTAATTCGTAATGCAACATTAAAAATCAACGCCGATAATACATGTGATTGTGGAGATCACTTTGAGGGTGGACATAAGCGCAGCAGGCTTCATTTACCTTCGATTTTTCCATGGTCTAAGCATGTGGAAACTTGACGTATTTTAAAGCGTGTTTCTTCTGAAAAAATTGTAAAGAAAGTCCATTCCGAAGACCCTTTGCCAGAAAGTGATCTCTGTCAGACGGAGGATGTGCTGCTCACAAGTGATCAAGGTATGCACACGGAACAAGTACACAACAAAGATGAATCTTTGCAAACTGAATGTTATGAAGGGGTAAAAGTAAATTTTTCCACCCAAACGGGACTACTTAGATTTGACATTAATCAGTTCAAAGATAAGGACTCAGACATTGCTTTTTACACTGCATTTCCTAATCATAAAACACTAATGCTTTGCTTTGCTTTGGTATGGTGAAAGATGCAGCGAAAAACATGAGCTATGGAAATTATTATCTAAAATGTTTTGATTGCCCCCCAGTTTTGCAACCAATCTAAAATAAACTGTAAAGCAAACGATGTCTTACTATAAATTTAAGCTGGACAGTTCAAAATAACAAACCCTGACAAATGATCGATAACAAAAACATTGTCTGAGCAAACCTCTTGACAAGATTGGCTTTCTTGCCGCTTGTTTTCGCTCCTCTGCACAACAGCCATCATCTAAGCTGTGGTACAGTACCCTCTTCAACGTTTTCTTGAGGAAGCTTCACTCCGGGAATGTCTTCTTCGATAATAACAACTTTTTTGGAAAAACTGACTTTCTCTGCCACCATTTTGAAGTTTCACACATCCACCCAAACGATCCCACAAATACCCTACGAGTCAAGTTCGTGCCCAGATTCCACATAGTTTCTGGAGTGGGGAATTGTATCACAGTCATTAAGTAGAATTACTAATTGTAGAACTTGGGAGCGAAAAGACCAATTGTCTTTTGTAAGAACATGGCACAATGCACTTTATGAAACGATGTAAATCTCGATTCTGGTAAGCCTCTAACACTGGGTACAAGAAACATGCTGATATAGTTAAATATAAGACCACGAGGACATCTACACTAACAACCTGTAGATGTCACAGTTAAAAAAAATTACTAAATAAATTTGATTTTTTTTTCTGATCATGTAACCATGGAACAGTGGAGAACACAAATCAATCTAGAATGAAATCACTATGACCTGAAAGCTCTTCTAAACTAGTGGATGAATACATAATCACATGAAGTAACAGTATTAAGTAACATATCTACTGCTTTCTTAAAAATAAAAACCCTTGCAGCACATGGCAATATATTCAGTCATATCTACTGCGTACAAGGTAATACTGATTTTTTTGTATGATTTACCTGCTTACGATCTGGTAGCACACAGTCAGGTTTTCTGGAGAATCTTTTGATTGCTGAAAAAATGTAGTCCCACCTTCCAGCATTCATAGCACAACAGTGCTCTCTTATCTCATAAAGCATTTCTTCCATGTTCACTCCTGCAAGCAGAGTCTCCAACATAACAGTTGCACGTATGGTTCCTAATAAATAGGAAAGATAATAATAGTTTTAACAGTAATTTAATCCTTATATAGTACTAGGATTCCTTGGGTAAATGCTCTCCAGCAGTTGACTATGACATGAACTCCATTACTAAACAAATGGGTAGAGTTACTGTACAGTTTGTACATCTTTAGAATCTTTTCCAAAATTTTCCCATTATATTATTTGCAATTTGTATTTAATCCTTTCTGTCTGATGATCCAGAGCTCGCCACTAACAGTAGCAAACTAGCCATAGACTAGTAGAAATTCAGTTTTGGCTAGTGGTTTTCCATTTCCACATGCCAGTTTGGCTGGTAAACAAAATGAATTGTTGTATCATCCAAGTTGTCTCTAGCCACTTGGCTAGTAAGTTGAAAACTTAGTGTTGCACCCTGTAATTTGATCCTCCTTGGCTGATTGACACTTCATTGGTGTTTCTCTGTCTTAATGATAATAAACCAAACTCTCTGCACAATCTAACAAAGAAAAGTGTGGTCAATAGTTGGGAGAGTTAGCTGTCAGATCTAACCTTGAGGAACTTTCATGTAATCCTGAGCAGATTTAAAAACATCATTCCAAAGCCTAGTTTCCAAGTGAGTCTCCATTTTTGGAAGATAATAGTATGGGGCAGAGCCATTGGCAAGCCTAATGTGGACGTTGTGAAAAAAGTAAAGTCCAAAATCTACCAGAGCACCACTCATGGGTTCTCCATCACAAAGGATGTGCTTCTCATCCAGGTGCAAGCCACGGGTACGAACCAACAAGCAGGCTGTTTTGTCCTTCAGCCGCCGCTCTGATCCTAACAGTTTGGTAAAGCATCTCTTAGTTGAAGCAAGCAATATTATTTAAAGAAATGTGGAAGTGTATTGTTAAAGCCCTTGCCACTGGTGAGGTGCTGTGATAATGTACTGGAATGTTTGATGTAGAGGGACCAAGATTAAAATATTAAGAGATAAAGAATTCTGACAATTGTGTTTTCCAGGAACCAGGTGACATTCTAGCTTTTTAATGGTTTGTTATATTAGATCAAGTACTGACGAACTATACTCCAATTTCTTTTTTTAACCCTCTAACCCCCAAGACTTGAGAGTGACTTGCTTCTAATTTCTCACCCTTGAATCAAAAGTTAAAGTGCCCATAATGTGAAAAAACGTTTTTCGCTCATCTAATTCTACATTTCACCAAATGAACTTCGGAGAAAATTTTTTTCCATTTGGATAAAACACGATTTTTTTACGAATTTTTACAAAGTTCAAAATTCTATTTTCTTGCGGTTGACCCCTGCCACTGATCACAAGAATAACGTGCTCAAAATGACCACATGACTGATGTCTGTGACGTAGGTTCAGGAACCTCACTTGACCTTACAGTGCATATAAATACACTGGTCGAGTGCAGGTCGTTTACAATATTGTGAGCTTACGATATTGTGACCACTCTGAAGCAAATTCCCACTTATTTTCAAGTCAGATAAGTCACAACCCAAAATCGTGTGTTCCTGAACCTATGTCACAACTCACTTTAAACCGAGGAAGACTGGTGCGAATGGTGGACCAAAATGGCGGCAAATTTGAATGTCTTTTAAAAATTATAAAAAAATTGCGTTTTATCCAAATCGAAATTTTTTTTCGCAGAAGTTCATTTGGTGAATTGTAGAATTAGATGAGCGAAAAACATTTTTTGACATTATGGGCACTTTAAGGTCATGAGAATAAATGAACTGATCACTACTTAAAACAGCTACTGATTGTCCAGCAAATTCTCCTTGTCAGTACCATAGTAATTTTAAAGAAAAAAATGTTGAAAATATGAATGCTTATCTTAGGGTGCTTTCATAAATCAATTTATACTCTCCAAAACGTACTCGCTTTTCATCAACAACAATCACATTTTGATGGTACACACACAAAATCAGACAGGAATGAAATATTAAACCTACTGTCACTCACCCGTGGTGAGAAATCATATGATATAGCTGTCAATAATTCTTATAGGTGCAAAGGGTGAAGTAAATATACATTCAAACCTACCATCTGCATTGATAAAACTAATGGTCCCCTTGTTTGCGTCTAAGAGGTTCATTTGTCCCTCCACAATATTTTTCCAGGAGGGAGTCAGTGAGTCTTCAAAATCAGCCATGTACATGTCTGCCCCACTGTTCAGGGCATTAATCACCATCTTACGGTCTGTTGGTCCAGTGATCTCCACATGTCGCATCTGCAGATCATGTGGGACAGGTGCCACCTTCCAATCCTTGTCATGGTGAGCTTCAGGGTATTTAATTTGCTTCCCACTGTTTATTTCTGCTTGGATTTCCTGTCGTTTTCTTAGCAGCTTTTTTCTTTGATAGTTAAAACTTCGATGCAAATCAGCAAGAAATTCCAGGGCTTCATATGATAGAATTTGACTGTATTCTGGCTTGACTCCGCCAGTTATTTCAACTCCTAGTTAGGGAGAGAAAAGACAGATTAAACCATTTCATGAGACAGATGAAGTCAATTTGTTGCACTAATCCCATGATAAAAAAATATGAGAAAGTCCACTTGCACAATTTTGTTGCAAATATGATGTCAACAAAATGTTTATATGGATTTGCATAAATTTCTTTCTCGAAACCCCCCTGATTGACAAGTTTATTGTCTGTACCTTTTAACTTACCTTCCCCTTAAACAGAAAAGCAATAGCAAACAAGCACTTATCCCTTAAACCTCTATGATCCAATCAGTAAATAATTCAGTCTTCCCCTGTACTTCACATGACAAAATAAGCTCACCCTTTGGACACCTCATGACTTCGTTTTCAGGATCCTATACAAAAATAACAATATCAATCAGTCTTAAAAACAAGATGCCACGCATAACCTTCATGGGAAAGTTTTCAACAAGTAAACCATCCTTAGTTTACTTTCCTGTTCAAGAAGGGAAAATTTTTAAGTGGCTTACCTAGAAAGAGAGAAACACTTGAAAACACCCAGTGGTTTTCCATGATTTGCAACCCTCAGGAAGATAATAGTCAACCCCTTTACATGACATCCCTGGAAACTAGTTTTAAAAGTGGGGGTGGGTTTAAAGAGACAAAGTTCACAATCAAAAGGCAGCTGTGTGGGCCATTTATTGTTTTTGTTACTGTTTAACATAATCTGTTTAATGGAAAAGCAATATAAATCAAAATGTCTGAGTCACGACTGAGTATAATATGGAGGTTGGGCAACCAATATCTCAAACAAATCTTTCGATTAGCCTGCTCACGTTTACAGCGTGAAATAGAGACGAAGACAAACTGAAGATATCTCCGATCAACTCTGTCTTGTAATCAATGGGTCCAAAGTAGCAATTTGCTGGGTAAAAAGTAGTTTGATATCACGGGGTTTGTAAAAACCGTTTCGTGACATTCAGTAACCTGAAGTTGAGTTTATTCACGAAGACATGATAAGGATTTCCGTGAATTTTCAAATTAAACTAGTTCATTGACTTGTTAGAAGTTTGAGGTGGCAGTGCACCCGAAGGAAACGCATGTGAAATTACTAGCCGAAATAGATGACACGTGACAGTCTGTGACCTGTCGAAAACAGTGACTGTGGGGAGAACGGTGGAAAAGTTCAGGACACCTTAAATTGTGGAATATTAAAACTCTCTTGAATACTTACAGGTGGATTCAGGGAACGGATAAGGAGAAAACTCGCGTTCAAACCCAGTTTTTCGCCGGACAGCACACAAAAAATCTTTTCGTGAAAAGTGTCTCGTCCGTGTCTGATTCATTGACTTTACTTGCCTCGTTTCTGTACTTATACATGGTTCAAGGTCCAAGGTGGGGTGATCAGGGGGCGGGGACAAAGGACACCAGGAGGTGTGGAGTGGGTTTTCCCAAGTAACGCCAGGAGAGGAGGGGGGGGGTTGGGAGGGGGTAAGTGAAAATACGATTTTCGACTGACATGTTGATTTTTTCTTCGCCATAGCTGTAGAAATGTTATTTACTAATACTATATGAAAAAGTGCGGGCAAGATTTCCGTATAACCCCATACTTCATTATGCATTCAATTCTTGGATAAAGGAAAGCTGAGGCAAAACAACAGATTTCCTCTGGGACCACGGCTTTGTTTTTGATTGTTATGGGGTTATACGGAAATCTTCCCAAAAGTGCGTATTGATTTCTCTTGATATGCGAGTTATCTCGTGGTTAAGGTCCTTCGGTCATTAGCAACAAAGGAATTGCGACCCCTTGGTAACATTGCGTCATACTCACTAGGATCACGAAATTTACATCTATCTTGCCATCGAATCTTTGTCTTTTTCAAAGTAGAATTGCTTCTTCATTTTTAAAAGGGAACTGTGACTTAGATACAGAAATAAAAAGTATGAAATATAATCATCAGAATACTTCTGAAGAAATCCGTGAGCTTGTTCATGCTTGACATGTCTTAGCTAACGACAAGGCGTCCGTTCATTATACCTTCAACCAATCAAATCCACCGTAAGACAACAGCGGAATTGTTCACCAATGATGACGTACGTTAAAAAAGCGATCAAAGTCCATTTATCATTTGACTATAAAATAATTCGAGAATTAGTTGGGAAAGACTCTTAGTATTTTTACAGAGAAGCGTCTCCTGAAGTAAACATTCCAAAGCTAATCAGAGCCCAGAGTTAAGTTCCAACCGTCCCAGTCACAATGTTTTCCAAACATCAGCGATTTCAAGGAATCAAGAGAAACTACAGCCCGGAGACCGTAGAAAAGCTTCGCGGTTCCCTCAAAATCGAGTACTCTTTGTCGAAGCGAGGAGCCATAAAACTCTGGGATCTTTTGACTCGTGGAGGAAATTCTTACGTGAACGCTTTAGGAGCTCTCACGGGTAAGTTACCGTTCTGTACAAAGTTGTTTGGGGAATTGAATTTTGTATCTAACTATTTTAATGGTTAAGACTTTGACTCCACGTGCAAGACACTCTTTTCCCAAATATGGTAGACGAGGATTTTACAAATATGGTGAATTAAGTATGTGGCGCGTAATTTGCCCGACGTTTGGCCGCCAACTATGTTTACTTGATCTTCATCCCGAAAAGCCTCCTTTTGTCAGATTATTAAAAAAAAGACGTACGAATGATTGGGATCTGATTTATTCTTGGCCACGTCAACCCAAGAAATTCTAATGACGTGGAAATGTGGAAAGAGCGAACTTTGGACTCGGACATGAATGAGTAGTTGAGAATTGTGACTTGACAATTTTCCATTCGATTTCCGTTTAAAACTCAAGTACTAACGTAACACAACAACCGCGAAGTGATATTCTTGATTCAGCGTTCAAAGATCGTCTTCCTGGGAGGCGAATGACGCAGAACTACCCGATTTCTACGTCGCATTAAGGCATCGACGTCAATTCAACGTCAATTCATGTATCCGGAAAATTTTCAAATGCTAAATTTTCTTACGTAATGTAAATGTTACATATCCATCGAGAAAAATATTCCATCAAACATTTTAGTTTTAAATTGAGAAAAAAAATAATACAAATAGAGAATATCGTGGCATTATACTATTTTTGCTCAAATAATTATTTATTATCATGCATTTATTTTCAAAATTTTTGTGATTTCAGGTGGACAGGCCGTTCAGATGGCCAAAGCCGGTTTAAAAGCCATCTATTTGAGTGGATGGCAAGTTGCGGGTGATAACAACCTAGCTGGGCAGACTTATCCCGATCAAAGTCTGTATCCTGCTAACTCTGCGCCAAAACTGGTAGAGCGCATCAATAATGCGTTCATCAGGGCAGACCAGATTGCACACATGGAAGGAACAGATAAACACATTGATTACTTTTTGCCGATTGTTGCTGATTGTGAAGCTGGCTTCGGTGGGCCATTAAATGCATTTGAACTCACCAAGTCCATGGTAATTTTCTGAGCTGCATGTTAAGAATTGTAGACAATATTGTATCCACTGTTGTTTCTAATTTTTCTTTCTGTTTTCACTTGCCACTCACTCAAGGCTATTGATGTGATAGGGAAACTTAAAAGTAGATAAGCTAGGGGTCAAGGCAAGGCCACATGTAAACATAAGACCACTGTTTAAGTACACCACAGTTTTAAGACATTGATGGCACCTTGGGGTATAAATAATTTTTTTTGTGTCAACTATTTTGATGTGTAAATATCAATGTTTAGGTAAAATGTTGGTTAATTGAAGATAGATTAGATTGCTGAGTTGCTAAAACAAAGGTTAATTTTATTTTGATAAATGATCATATGGGTTTTTACAAGGACCTCAGTTATCACATATTTAAAAAGTTGTTGAAAAGATTATGGAGGAAGTTACTAAAAATATTTTTTTCAAACTGATAAAACAGTAAAATACATCAAGAGAAAAAAAAGAACTCCAAATGTGGGATCAAATGAAATGTCTTTCAAGGCTTTATTTTGGATAACCTGCTGATGCTGTTTCAACATGCACTTCTTGTAAAATGAATGTAAAAACACTAGGAAAGAGAATGTAGCAATTCATCAAAGGTCACTTCTGGCTTTTTCCAGGTCTCTTCCAGGAATGACCAGGTAGTGAGTTGATTCAATGCCAAATTCTCAGAACTAATTTCATAGGAAATGTATGATAGATAGTAAAAAGAATTGCTGCTAATATCTTGGAAGTACAGGGGTTAAGTAGAAGTTTTGCTGTAATGCTGATGTGTAGTGGCTTCTTTCCCCACCAGATTGCAGCAGGTGCTGCAGCCGTCCATTTTGAAGACCAACTGGCCTCGGAAAAGAAATGTGGTCATATGGGAGGAAAAGTGTTAGTACCCACCCAACAATTTGTTAAGGTCCTGAATGCTGCACGACTGGCTGGTGATGTTCTGGATGTCCCTGTTGTGATTGTTGGCAGGACTGATGCTAATTCTGCTGCACTAGTCACCTCAGATATTGACCCTTATGACAGGCCTTTCCTGACTGGAGAACGAACACCAGAAGGGTTCTTCCGTGCCAAGACAGGCTTGGACCAAGCCATTGCAAGGGGCCTGGCTTATGCACCTTACTGCGATGTGCTGTGGTGTGAAACTGGCAAGCCAAACCTTCAAGAAGCAAGAAGATTTGCTGAAGCTATTCATGCACGCTATCCTGGAAAAATTCTGGCATATAACTGTTCACCTTCATTCAATTGGAGGGCCAACCTCAGCGATGCAGAAATTGCCGTCTTCCAAAGGGAACTGGGAAAAATGGGTTACCGCTTTCAGTTTGTAACCTTAGCTGGCTTTCACTCCCTCAATCATGCCATGTTCAAGCTAGCACGTGACTACAGAGACAATGGTATGTCTGCCTATACTAAGGTCCAAGAAGATGAGTTTGCACAGGCTAAGAATGGTTTCACTGCTCACAAACATCAGAGAGAGGTTGGAACAGGGTATTTTGATCAAGTTTCCATGGCAATCAGTGGAGGAACCAGCTCGACAACAGCACTCAAAGGTTCCACGGAAGAAGAACAATTCACTCAAAAATCAGCATATGCAATGGCCAAACTTTAAGCCATTCTTGATATCAGTATTAATCTTTAATCTCATTAACAACAGCAGCAACTTTAAATTTCACTTCTTTTAATTTGATTTTATCATGATTTACTCAGACACATTTTAGTGTATTTGAATACTGTATTCTGTTCTTTTGTTGAGCCATTTGATACTAACGTGTATTCATTTGGAAACAAGTTACCACTATTCATATTTTGGATGTAAAAATTAACATAAAGCTTGATTGAAATTGAAAACAAAACATCAATCACAATTTTATTATTCCTCAAGTTATATAGGACTCAGATACAATGAATATATGAAGTTCATATATTTTGAACTGCGGTATTAAATACGTATGATGCACAATCCTTCGCAGTAGGACTAATGATAATTATTTATTATGCAAGGTTTTATGAATAACTTATTGTTTTATGTAGAAAAACACCATTATAACTTAATCTCAGAAACTTAACTTGTCATTCCTGGTTAATGCCTTTCATTAGGAAGTAATTGGCATGGTTTCTTTGCAAATTGAGGTGAACCATTCGGGATTTAGACATTACTCTGTAAACCCACTATTACTGATGTTCTCAGATATATTAAGATTTCATTGTCAATTACCCTTTCCCAGAAATGTTAGAAATGTTTAAGTCGAGACTATCCACACTTTGGAGTCCTTTCTGTTGGTGGCCACCAAGATACCCTAGTTCTTTCTAATAAGTTAATGAAGCAGGTTACAGAGCCAAAGCTGTTTTTTCCAACTCATTGATGAAATACTCATTTGGTGTCCAGTTTTTATCATTCAATCAAGACAAAACATGTCAACGAACTCCATAGTTTTTTTTTTTTTTTTTTTTTAACAGAACACAAAGTTTTATTTCAGTTTTGCTCTCTAGCTCGTGCAGGTATTCCATAGTTTTTTTTTTTTTTTTTTTTTGAAGAACAAACTAAATCATGCACTCAGTGATAAAACTAGTGTATTCCATCAGATCTCCATTATTCAGAGTGCAAGTTTCACGTGAAACAGATGGAAGAAATGATACAACATTAAATGAGATCAGATTTGGAAGAGGTCAAAACAAACAAAACGAACAAATAAATAGGGAGGTTAAGTTAAGAAAAACAAAACAAAAATAATTTACTCTTGATTAGTTACTTACCCAGTCCAATATACTGTGGTTTAGCAAGTGTTAGTGGTCTTAATATTTTGTGGATTAAAGAAATCTCTAGCATTGCTATGTTATCAATGAAAGGAGGAAAAATAAATGGAAACATATCATTGTCTTTGTTTAATAGTATGATTTATTACTGGAAAATCCCTGGAAGGTTAAATACATGATTACATACTTTCTATTGTTATTGTATTTTTTGTCTTGTAAATACTGACTTGTGTCATACCAAATTTGATCAAATGAAGGCTTAAAGAAGTTGTTGGATTCAAATTATCCTTGTTGGCACCTTGGCAAATGTATTGAGGACAGCATGGAGAATATTATATGGATATTGATGCTAGGGTTTAATGGTTGAGAGAAGGACATTAAGACAGAGTAACTATGGATGACTTACAAGGTTCAGTTCTTGGAAGGAACAAACTCTAATATTATTAGATTTTAGGTACTCTTGGAGAGTAGGACTCTTGAGTGTTTCTAATTCATGCTCCCTACCATCAGAGCATGCAAACAAATCTGGTCCCTCACCACAACCACCACATCCTATAATACTCTTATACCCAGGATGCACCATGAGCTCACAAACTTCTTCAGAGTCCTTTGTGAAAACATTTTTGATGGCCTGTTCAAGCCTGGAAATTGTCATATCTTTCCCCATGGTACTGAACCCAATAAAATGACTTGAAAACCTACAAATGAAGGCAAATAAGTTAAACAGCAGAACTTTTACCTAACAGCTGTTAGCCTGCGGGTAGCTGTACCCCCCCCCCCCAGGAGAAACTGAAGGGAGTTGTAAGTACAAAGTCTACTTACAACTGACTTTACAAATCCCTGTTGGAGCTCCTTTACAAACTCAGTATTTGACACATTTCTCTAACTAGAAATTCTTATACAAATGGGCCAGTAGACACCACAGTAAATAAAGACCTAAAAAGAATCTACTTTGTTTTAAAGATCTCACTACAGCAGACACCCGGAATCAACCCTTGTCCCATCTCAACTCATTGCATTGATCTCACAGTTAGAAACTGGTATGTACTGATGATGCCTCATATACTCAGCTGCATTTTAAAAAAAACCACTCAAATGTATACTTTGCATTTGCTACATTTTCATTGAAGGGTGCCGGGAAAGGTCCCATAACTGGCCAGCTATCATAGACTTTGTAAATTTCAAAAGTAGAAGGGTTTGACATGGGCCCTAACCACTAAACCAACAGGGACAGAATGGATCTTTTGGATGACAAATTTTTTTTACCTTGTTCAACATTGTTTCAAAAAGTTACCTTATTCCATAGTTAGAGAAAGTTGACTTGGAATTTTCAGCATCTGCCATAACAAATTTGTTGAAATTTTTCACAGGCTCCTTGATCCATACACATTCCTCGAGGTTTATTTCCACTGGTACTCTTGTCCAACAAATTCCAAACTTTTTCATAACCTTGCACAGAATTGCACACACTTGAGGCAATACATGAACATGTTGATGTCCATCAATATGTGTGGGTACTGATCCTACATTGTCAATAAACCACTGCAGTTGACACTCCACTTCTTCTTTTACCTTTCTTGTAAAGAATAGATATATGTCTGTAAACCCTTAACTTTCATCAGTGACCAAGACAGAATTTCTCCTTACAATACCAATACAATATCAAGCAGATGAGTAGTGAGAATAAAGAAAAATATCAATTAGCAGATTATTAGTTCATTCTCCCAACTAACATCATAAGAACTGTATGGCAGACAGTAAGGAGAATTACTAATAAGATCATGGGAGTGAAAGGGTCAAGTATAATTGATATTCACCTCTTACTTTGTATTGCCCTAGGTATTAAATAATATATCACTGATGAACGTCTCGTTTTCGCTTGTGGATATTAGGTGGGGTAAGGAAATTCCTTCTCACTTGCTAAAAAATTTAATTATACGCCATATTGCCTATCTAAGATGTTAAATGGAATGGTTATGGAATGGCCCCCAAGCTCTCGCGATGTGCCCGGGTAGGTATGAAAACGGGTGGCTTACGGGGAGTACTTAACCGTTCTTACCTCATTTAACTCTATTTCTCCATTTTTCAATGCCTTTCTGAATCCAAACTTACCCCTCATAAAACCATTTGCTGTCGTGAGGGAACCGAGTCGGGATTTTATTGTTCGACCCTCAGTCAGGTTGAGGTGCAATCCTAAGGGTATCGAATATTCCCTGGCTAGTTTTACTGCTTCTAGGGACTTGTCAGCATTCACGAGGAGACTAGTACTCGAAACTACTCCAGATTGAACTGATTCTACAATACCACGATTTCTTTGATCACAATATCCAAAATCATCAGCGTTTATCACAATGTAACGGGTGGCATCCTTCCTCGAATTGTCTGCCATTTTGTTTTGTTAACACAACGATAACAGCTGGTCAGCAGAACAATACTCGTGTCAAGCCTCTGACCGATGTCACAGTGATATGTGTACCCCCGTGATATGTGTACCCCCGCACACATATCACTAGTGATATGTGTACCCCTGGTAGGGATACACAAAACACTGAAGCTTTGCACCCGGGCCTCTTAGAGCTTCAAAGAAAACATGGCTACGAGGAACAAATTTTGTGGTTTTATATTTTAAAGTTTCCGATCCAAAATATAAACGGAAGAAGATCACAATGCAACTGAATAACAATACACATATTGACTGCGATTGCCGCGATATGCGTATCCACATTGTATCCCCTAGATGTATTGGGGATACACATATCACTGAACGGCGATCGCAGTGATATGTGTATCCCCTGACTAACTNATTTCCAATAGATTGTTTGATGTTTGCTACTGGCCCATAAGAACTGTCGGACTCGCGAGTCGTGTCTTTACAGTTCTGATTGTGGAAGATGGTTCAGTGAACGATTTGCGTCTATTAACACAAGCTAGCCGTAATTATTTATTTTTTGGAGGGGAGGGGGGTGGGGGATACACATATCACTGGCCGCCATCTTGGAGGGGGTACACATATCACTAGTGATATGTGTGCGGGGGTACACATATCACGGGGGTACACATATCACTGTGACACCGAAAATGCAAGATGGCGAACGTGGAGAGTGATGGAAGGGGTGAGTGTGTTTGCTAATTCTCATATGTTTCTTTCGTTCAGGTCGCGAGGAACTCATTTTCCTCATTTTATCTATCATTGATATTCCAGCTCTCTCTGAAAAGAGGACACAAGCGTTTGTCTCACTGAGTGTGGCAGTTATCTTCATCTGTATTGGACTTCCACTCTGGTGGAATACTACAAAAGTATACCGAGCATCGCTTCCGTATGATGAAATTGAACAGCTTAACCAACTTAAGGTGAATACTTTATCAGTTTATTAAAGCTGCAGTGATATAAAATCGTGCAATACTGGAGGGTGGAAAAATGTCGGGAAACTGGAGTTTGAAAATTACTAAAAAAAGGAGATATAATAATTTTAACGTACGTATCACTGAATTATTTCAGAAAACGAGTGAAAAGTACATGTAGGACTTGACCAATACAGTAAAAAAAAAAAAAAAAACTAGAGACAAACACTACTTTTGTTTTGGGCTCGATTGTCGTCTTAAAAACTGGAACAGCTGATGATTTCCATTATATTGTTATTTTTATATTTCTTTCAGGTGAGGTATGTAGTAAACCTCAAAGTAGTTCTTTTTGGTCAACAAGATCCAGTTGCTTTGAAAGAAGAGATCGAGAAGAAGCTCAATACAGAGAAAGGTATTATTGATTTATACTCAAGTTAGTGAACATGTGTAAAATAAACAAATAAAGGATATGATGGTGATTAGATTTGAAAATACAACCCTATCACGAAAAGGTCACAGTTTTTGACTTTTTGTTCTTCTGTCCAGGTGATACTTTGATATCAGCTGAATACAGGCTGACAGTTGCAAGGAAAGAAATGACAGATTCTTCAATGTTAACAGAATTAAAAACCAGATCCATGCAAGGTAAGCTCTTTCTTGTTTTGTGGTTAGTCAGTTTATTGTGAGGCAATAAGGAGGATACTGCTTAGAACACATTTTCAGCAAAAAGCTCCAACTAGAAAAAGATTGAATAAATCTACCAAAACATGTACATCTACTAATCAATCAGTTTTATCACTGACTCACATGCTCTCTCTCATAATCACACTCACTGACTTATTCACTAGGACTCACTTACTCACTGGCTCTCTGGTCCCCACTCACTCAGTGACTCACTGTTTGTAAAACAATTTTCTGTAGAAGTTGTTTTTGATATATAAATTATTTCTTGTCAACAGATTTGGATGACTATTTTCAATTACAAAACAGCTTGGTAAATGCAGAAAGTCAGCATTATTCCTTTTTTGTTCTACCCCATGAACCTCCAGAGTTGAACACTATTAAAGGATATGTTGGCAAACATTTTCACAGTATATTATTCAATGATAAAGGTAATAGTTCAAAGAGGAAAAATTTTCAGTTTATTTTTTGTCAAAAAGATACAACAGATGTTGCTATTTTTTACATTCATACTAATAAAATGCAAAGGAAGTGAAAGAGATAATTAGATATTTGAATTTGAATGATATCTACAAGTAGATACAAATGGAACAATTTTTATTCAATCCAACATGCAATACTATGACTATATTGTTTTGCATCTCTTTAGATTCAGCAAAGCTTGCTTCAGTTATTATGGACATTGTTGGAAATATTTTTGTTAACGAACAAGAAGCAAACAGGCCATTTAACTTGGCTTCGAAAAGGCAATTTGTTAAGGTATAGAAGACTGATTTCTTGTGTGTACTGGTACTTTTGATTTAATAACATATTGCAGGATCCACAGAATAAAGCCCTTGTTACACGTGTCATAACATTTGTGTTACTACAACAGCGCCGTAGTAAGGATATGAGCATTTGTGGTCAGCTGTTACACCCCTTTTTTTGTAAACTCGTGTTAGTTGCCACCATGTTGTTGTTATGACATGTCAGTCAGATCCATGTAATCCTTTGCCCATTTAAGGCAACTAAGTTGTTATCTCAAGAAGATTTGTTACTTCTAAGCCAGATCCCAGGATTGAAATTTCTTTTTCTTGCAAATAACAACGAAACTCCTTCAGGTGTGAGTTGACTTTTGAGGGCAGCCACAATTCAGTTCTCCCTCTGTTTCATGATAGAATACAAGAGGACAATTCGGGAGAAAGAATCTAGCAGTCTATTTAACAATTATTCCACGAGCGCGCATTGGATATGAGATGATAGATAGCCAATGAAGCGCGTAGCGCCGAGTTGGCTATAATCATCTCATATCCAACAAGTGCGAGTGGAATAACTGCTTTATTAAAAACGCCCACAAGATATTAGACAAATCTTGCCAAATCTTAAATGTTTTAGCTGCCTTTTAAATTTAAGCTGATGGGTATGCTTACCATATTTGTAGATTATGGTATATTGGCTAGGCCAATAAAAAGTCTTGAATTGCATTTTCCAATGATCCAGTTTTTAATATAAGTAGTTATTTAGCCAGTATCTTCCATGTACTCTTTGACCCTTGAGAGTGACTAGCTTCTAATTTCTGGACAATATCACCCCTGGATTAAACATTAAATGAGAATAGAACAAATGATCACAACTAAAGAAGCTCTTGATTGTTAAACAAATTCAATAATTTTCTTTTAAGGACTCTGTGGAAAGTATGCGTGCACAGAAGTCAACAACAGGTTGGAAGTTGTATTAATATACAATTATAGCCCACTCTTGTGAAGATATCTCTTTTATGGTTATGGGTATTGTATATATTAAAAATAATTAATTTTTCAGTTTTTTTTTTCAGTTTTTTTCCTTAAATAGGTAGTATCACAAAGGAGCCTCAACACTCATATCAAACATAACTTTAGCCATACAAAGTATCGTAGCTAATACTGTACCTGATGACAAGTACTTCTTTACTGAAAGGTTTGCAGGTGTCCTTCACACTTTTGAACTCTGATCCAGACTCAGTGCTGGCTGAATGGGATATAGAGGCTGCTGTTCAAAGTGAGTAATACATGAAAAAGAACCTAACTTTGTTATTTGTAGTTTCTCTTTCTCTCTGTCTGTCTGTCTGTCTGTCTGTCTGTCTCTCTCTCACTTGTTTTGTTTCTTAGAACTGCAAGGGTAATCTCACTTAATTTCTCTTTGTTCCCTTTTATTATCCAGAATATTTGGATCCCTTCCTGTTAAATTTTCCTCATCTGGATATAACTGTAGACTCCCAGGTAGGAAGAAACAGGCCCAGTTGTTCAAAGGGTGGAAACACTATACAACAGATAAATTTCTATCAGGCAGATAAGTGTGGACAAAATCTACTGCGCTGTCCATTGGAGAGAGATATATCCAGTGGATGGTGTTATCCACCCTTCGAACAATCAGAACTAGACCTTTCCAATTTTATTTATTGTAGAATTTGTCTTTTGTTGTTTGAATTTCAGCACTGGACATTAGCCTTTATTAATTCAGTGAATATTACCATTTCAGGTTCTTCATTATAGCAGCCTTCAAATTAATCCCAAGAAGGATGGCAAAATCTTCTCTCTTCACTATGATGACCTACCTCATATGATAAATCCCATTGAAGGCAAACTTGGTAAGAGTTACATTTAATGACAAATCCTTACCCCTCCCCCTCCCCCTCCCTTCTCCTACCCCTCCCTTCTCCTACCCCTCCCCCAATTAACCCACCTCTGAAACCAAGAGATTGTTTGCTTGAACCCTCTCCACATTGTGTGATACTGTAATGTTTTATGCAGAAATTATCAACATGGTTGGGCTTTGAATTATAGTATGGGCTTTCACATTCCCATGGTTTGGAACTGCTAGCCAAAAGCAGCTTTAATATTCAGAGTGAGTTCTAGTTATTTTGACATTTTGAACGTTGTGCTTGCAGGTTCTCACATCTCTTTGTATCCAAGTTTGAACTTTGTTGTGTATGTCCCATCTATGAAGCATTCACCCATTTACATGAAAAATAAGGATGGTAAGACTGCATGAAGATTTAGTTTTTTATTCTTTTTAACCATTTAGTCCATTGTAGATCGATGGTTGATTTGTCGGCATGACTCCAATTAACAAATGGTAAACACTACAGCGTACACTATTGAGTTATGGATGCACGCGGGAGGTTGCTAAGCACGAAAGAAGCGTAAGAGTCGCTCGAGGCGATAGCCGAGAGCGACTCTAGCTTCTTGAGTGCTTAGCAAACCTCCCAAGTGCATCCATAACTCAATAGTGTACGCTGGGGTGTTTACCATTTGTTTTATGACATAACATTGATACATTGTAACTAAAGAGTTCCCTTTTATTTAACAGATCTTACGCGACCAGAAAAAACAATCGCGCGCGGAAAAATAGTCTTTGTATTTGCTCACGTCAGCAGCGTACACTCATGGGCAAATGGGGGACGCTAAATTGACCAATCAGAGCGCGCGCTTTACTTTGGTTATGTTATAATACATTGTTGAGAAGTAAGTTAATAACCTGAAGATCTAATAACACCAACATCAATTTCTCAGAGCTAATATACAAAAAAAGTGGGGCAGACATCAGGGAAAATTAGATCGAAAACTTGATTGAGAACGTTTTGAGTGTAAAGATATCTTACATAGATTTAAAAATTTGGTTTAATTGTCATTTTCTTTAGCCACCCAGTGTCTCAGGATGTAAATTTGTCGGATGAATTTAGTGAGCCAGGAGCTTGGACTTCAAATTTTAGACGGTTCATGGAAACAGAAAAGAGTTTCCGTTGGACTCAACAAATGCCTGTTACCTGTATCACAGGTGGCCGAAGCATACTGAGCAAGTTGGAGGAATTTCAAGAAATAGCTACGATAAACTTATTTGAGCTTTGTGGATCCCGCTGACAATCTACTTTAGAATATTTATTCCTAAATTGCCTGATGGTAAGAATTTTCAACACATTTTTCTGCAGGCGAGCTGAGCAGTAGCAATGCATTCTTGAGTCCACAGTGGGGTGGAATCATGATTTACAATCTACCACCGACCACAACAACGAATAACACCAAACCGCAAAAGATAACTGTGGAGATGAAACCAATCATGAACGTCTTCCTATCGCAACTTAAATTGTTACTAGGAATGATGTCTGTGGTAAGAAGTAGTGGAACTTTTAACTGAGGTGTTTTAGAGTAAGAACTTTTAACTGAGGTGTTTTTGAGGCTGTTTCCAATATGATTGAGGACTAGTAATGTACACCTGTGATACGAACGTTTCGCAGCACAACGAGATACAACTGCGATCCCATTACGGAAGTTGGAACTCTGACGGTACTGTCTGAAAACGGACGCAAGTGGTCCGAAGTCGGGTGATAACTTCCGAAAACGGACGCAAGTTTCCGAAATCGGACAGTACCATTCGATAATGGACGCAAGTGTCCGAAGTCGGACAGTACTGTCCGAAAACGGACGCAAGTTTCTGAAGTCGGGCGGTACCGTCCAAACACAAAAGCACATTTCCGAAATTGGACGGTACCGTCCGAAATGCACCTCTGAGGTAGGAATTCAGAGACACTGCAGACAAGTTAGCACTAACGATTTAAGGTGCTATCGCATCTTTTCCCGTTATCATTGTCGCATGATCACCCACAAAAAACAAAGGCTTATGTTATCTCAATTCTTCTCTGTGTTGTAGAATCTTCCAAATGGTATCGAAGTGAGAATCGCTGATGATGCTGGGGTCACAAAATGGGTAAAGTTGTAGCCGATTTTATTCTTTTTTCCCCTTCTTACCTCGAAAAATACACGAAGACATTTACGAAGTGTTAAAAATGTTAAGTTTCTTTATTAGGCCGGGTAATAAATATAACACTGTAGAACCCCTATTTTTTTCTTCAAGTTCTGTTGGAAAAGGTGTTTCAGATTAGCTATTTCCTTACGTAGAAACGGGAGAAGCGTGTGCGGTGGATGCGGGAGAGCACTGGGAATAGGAAGGAAACAGTAAGGCCTGCAACACAGATTGGGTCTAAAGATTGTTTGGGTTGTAAAGGAGTACATAGGACTTTTAAGTTCATGTCTGTCATTTAGCCACATTAGCAGACGCAAGATAAACCAATTTGGTTAATTACAGGAACAAGAGTCGCTGATGAGACTTAAAACAATGGAATACTTGGCAACTTCTACAATCACGTTGACGTCACTCGCACAGCTTCTTGGGAAAATCAGCAACATGGTGATCAATGATCACATTCAGCAACAAGTCGAGCAGGCCCTGGGCGCCATTCGTCAGGTGTGGGAATCTACTTTGTATAATAGAAAGTGAACTGTGTTAACTTTTTCAGAAGTTTTAGATTATTTTGACTTAAATAAATGAAGCTTTAGAGCGTGTCAAGAACTTGATATCTCAAGTCGTGGACTGAATTAGAGTTGACCAAGTTCCATTTGATTTTCAGTCTACAACAGCTCTTCAAGATGGAAACGTGACTGCGGCAGTCTTTGCAGCCAAAAGTGCCCTTAGGTCTTCAGGTTCGTACGTTTCCAAACGTCATCTCTTTCTTTTCAGTGTTTATCGTTCGTGGATAGTTGTTCGAGATATCTGTAGCAGTGTTATTTTCCAGTAATCAAAACTGCGGTGTTTCCTATCACCACATCATTCTTTTTCTCTCAGAGGAGGCATTTTTTGACCCATCAATACTGGAGCTGTTGTACTTTCCAGACGATCAAAAGTAAGTCTGACCTATCAACATTATGCCATAAGGAGATCGTCGGCCGTGTCCGGTTCGGCCCGGAATCCGTTGCAGCTTCGGTACCCTTCCCGAAGTATTGTTCCATTTTCCTTACTTTCTCTCAAGCAAGGATTTGATACCGGAGACTGGACTAAATTTTCAGTTAAAGAAAGCTACCAAATTATCAGTCAACAAGCAACATCGCATTTAACCTTTATATATTTATATATATACCTAGCATCGGCACTGCACTGATGAGGCCCAGAAGGCCGAAACAGTTCTGTCTGCAGTTATATATATATATATATATATATCTATATATA